AAATACATTATTATTTAAGTTACTTACATTTTTATCTGCAAACCCTTGGCTAAAAATTAAATACGTGATATTTTCTTGGATTCAAAAGCATCCACAGAAGCCATAACAATTAATTGCTCATATTTTCAAGTCGTGTATCTTAGTGAAACAGTAAGAAATGGACTCTGATGTTATCGCTGATGAGTGTTTCTTTAGTATTGTATTGAATAACATTTTTCTCAACGTTTAGTTTTTGGGGCTTGGTTGACATTTTCCGGGAAATGCACATATAGTACATTAAGTATACCCGCGGTTTTTACGCAATAGACACTCAAAATAATATAGATTATTTTGGGCTCGATAAGTTTTGTACTTTATTTAACGAAGCTGTTATAAATGTGTTCTACCCGCTTCTTGGCACGAGGTTAAGAAAATGTTTTTGTACTAAGCTTTCTTATAGCCTTGCAGCGGTTTCGGCTTAAGGTTCATTAAATCATTTAGTATCCTATTGTAAGCGACGTTACTATTTGTCGTCATGTTAAGTTCAATTGTACAAAATTTGTTTTATATCTAGTAGGCACACACACCAGACTTTAAATATGTATATATAACACGATAAATGAAAAAAGTAACAAAAACAAACTTAGTCAAAAGCTGTTCTCAAACAAAACCAAAGGCCAAAGATTGAATCAAACGCTCAAAGCATGACCTAAGCTAAATTAAATTGGGACACGTAAGGATTCGTTGTCCTTAAGCTATCTGGATAAAACTGTCCCAAAAGTTGTCTTCTTGTTGCGGTCGGAACGAGCCGGATCGAATGACTATAGCTATAGGCCCCAAATCAAATATAAAAAATAGAGAAATTAAAAAAAAATTACAACTTCTCTATTTTTTACTTTATATTTATTTCTTTTGGATAGTAATAACAATAATTCAGAGTTACGCTTTTAATTTTATTCAAATCGGATAACGATATCATATAGCTGCCATAGAAACGATTGAAAAATTTAGTTAAAAGTCTTCATAGCTTCCCCAAAAATTGTATTCCTGTTGCAGGTAGTATAGGTAGTATATAAGTCGGAACGAGCCGGATCGGACGACTGCAGCATGCAGACAGCTTTAAAACTGAGAGACTAGTTTGCATATAAACGGACGGACAGACGGACAGACGGACATGGCTAGATCGACTTTCCTAGTGATGCTGATCAAGAATTTATATACTTTATGGGGTTGGAAATGTATCCTTCACTACGTTGCAAACTTCTGACTGAAATTATACTATCCTCCGCAAGGGTATAAACATGATTGCATCTCTATTTTTCAATTAAAAAAAAATGTTGAGATATAGGGATTGTGTAATAATTTAGAATTACTGTTTTAATGTTATTAAAATGGATAGCAGCGTTAGGAACGATCGAATAATTCATCGGAAAATCATCACAGCTACACTGCTTGATATGCTCAATGAGATACCTGCTTAGTTTACTGATAGTTTTGTTATAGTCATATAGTTTTAATGTCATTTTATCTGTATCGGACAGAGACATAGATTTTTCCTTATGTGCATCATACTGGGGCTTCAAATTTTGCAATTGAATCGAGAAACCTTTTTTTAATATTGACATTTTTATATCCGTTACTGGTAGAGTAAAAGGGTATATTGTGTTACTTTGAAAACAGGTTTGTAACAGGTGAAGAAAGCGTTTCCGACGTTATAAAGAATATATTCTTGATTAGGATCAATAGCCGAGTCGATCTAGCCATGTTCGTCTGTCTGTTTGTCCGTCCGTATGAACGTAGAGATGGCGGACTATAGTCGGTAACCGCGACAATATCGTTCATTCTTGTTAAGTCTGCATTCCCAACACGTGTTGGGTAGCGGTATCAGATATTATGTTTTTAATTATTATAATTCAGTGTTCGTTAGAAGAAACAATAATGGTTGGCTAGAACCGCAAAATAAAATTAAGACGGAGCCTGGCTAACGGTGCCAAAGCAATCATTCCACGCTGTCCACAGCGTCGTCTTCTTGAATATGAAGCTTCAGTGGCTAAAATAAGTTCGTTTCAGCAGTAGAGGCATTGGCATTCCTAAGAAGAAAGAACACAAAATGATTCTATAGGCTAAAGGTGCATTGGAAAAACGCGCTGCTCAAGCAGCTCGAGCTGAGCTGGCGAGCTTGGAGCTGGCTTTGGTCCTGGTTTAGGCCAAGCAGTACGCCAAGAGTTGTTTGCATACCAACTCGACTGTAACCTCCGCTGGGAGCAGAGCCGAAACCACAGTCGAAACCGAACGAAAGGCTATAGTAACTTGCAGGCAGAATCAAAACGAAACACCACCGGCCGCATGCCACTCGATGGTGGTGGCTGATATATCACGGAATTTGTATGTGGGTGTACTGGCTACATAAGCATAAGCAAAAGCATAAGCAAAACCAAAGGCAAAGGCAATGGGCAAAGGCAAAAGCCTGCAAAGGCGACTGAGTGAAACCAGTTGAGGAATATGAAGAACAGATAACGACGACTCCACAGAAATAAAGACATACAACAAAAAGGCACGCGCGAATAGTCCGAACGAATCAAAGAAGGGACGGATGCGGATCGCGGTGTGCGGTGTGGGGTGTGTGGTGTGGGGTGTGGGGATGACAGCAGGAAAACCTTGACTTCCTTTGTTTTGTGCAGAGCCATAAGGCAGTGAACTTTTCTATTTGTGCCCACACCATTCCAATCGAGACAATAATTTTGTAAAGTATGCGTATAAGCTGTGGCATGACACCCACACCTCCCGCGCAGGACGGTTGGAATTAAAAGAAGATGCCTTAGCCAAGTTAGTAAGTTGTTTAATTAAAAAGAAGCAGGCACATAATCATCTCAATAGTTTCTATCTAGTGTACACCTTTTGTAGGGGTAAAACGATTTCTATACCCTTTACTGCTAAATATCCTTTTCACTGCGTTTGAAAACTTTTGAATCAAATTATAATACCCTCGCCCAGGGTATAAATATTTTCTATAAGTCGACTTTATTTCAATATTTATGCGTATACTTATTAAAACAATAATAATTTTAATCGTTGCCTTCGCAGCTATAACAAGTGTTGACCGATTTTTATAAAATTGTAAGATTAAAGAAGTCTTTTAGGAAAGTTTCATATTGGCTATATGGCTATGTCGAATCTTCTAGTGATGCTAATCACTAATTCATGTAAAATTAGATGATGATCATCTTGCATGAAATAGATATTAGTGTTGAAATAGCTAGCTTACTCAGCCTGATGGTAGAAAACTTGGCACTATCACCATTTAGTACATATGATTTTAAAAATAGATTTTCAGATGTATATTTAATCGAAGAACTATATCAAATATATCTTAATTCGGCGTTTATTAACCTTAACTTATTAACTTCTCCCAACAAATTTATGGTTTATTGTAAAACCACAAAATAAAACAAGAAAGGAAGCAAACTTCGGCAAGCCGAAGTTCATATACCCTTGCAGCTATTGCAAGAATTAAACATTTTTGAAAACATTAAAATTATGATTTACTTGCGTATATGTTTAAAAACATTGAAGCTATGATGATTAGCAGCTCAATTATTTAATAGTTATTTTATATATTTTTATTATTTCTATGGGAGCTATATGATATAGACGTCCGATTTTGATAAAATTTAAACCATAATTCTGAAATATTTAACCATTGCTATATGTCGAAGAACTAAACAAAAAATTAAAAAACAGAAAAGTTATAATTTTTTTTCATTTATTTTTCCGATTGTTCCTATTGGAGCTATATGCTATAGTCGTCCGATCCGGCTCGTTCCGACTTATATACTACCTGCAATAGAAAGAAAACTTTTGGGAAAGTTTCATGCAGATAGCTTTAAAAGTGAAAGACTAGTTTGCGTAGAAACGGACGGACGGACAGATGGACATGGCTAGATCGACTCGTCTAGTGATACTGATCAAGAATATATATACTTTATAGGGTCGGAGATGTCTCCTTCACTGCGTTGCAAACTTCTGACTGAAATTATAATACCCTCTGTAAGGGTATAACAAGAATTTAAGCAAACTTCAGCTCGTGGAAGTTTAACTACCCTTACACCTATGTATAACCAACAAATATTTGTATTATTATATATATATTATATATTATATATTGTATTATATATAATACGATATTTATGCCTAATTGTTTCAAGCAACCTAAAGGTTCCGGTTTTGGTTACGGTTACGGACTTTGATTCGGTTTTATCGGTTAAGGATAAGGGTCACGAAACCGGTTGGATACCCTGAAAGAGAGACTTTGAAAAAGTTGAAAACTGTGGTAGGAAGAAGCTAACAATTATTTTGCTCCTTTTCGCACGCTCGAATGTATATGAACTACTTTTTTCAAATATTGTGGGATAATAGTAATAATAAAATAATGGTTCGATGTGAAAAATAATTGGTGTGTCGATAGATCTTGACTTATACCGCCCAATTGCTGTCCTTGACCATGTTTTAGAGAGACATGACATCATAATCAGATAGACAAAAAGACGGACGTGTCTAGATCAATTGGGCTTTTGATCCTGGTCAAGAATATATATACTCAATAGGCTCGAAAACGCATTAGTCCACCAGCTACATACCATTTAACGAGTACGATATGATCTTTTCAGAAGATGATGGCTTTCTTTTTCCTTCCTTACCAATTGTGCATCTACATATTGGGCTTTCCGTGATAAATGGGTTTAATGGTCATCGAAATTAGTATATTGCACGTTAAAAAAATCTTGTCAGTCAACGATAATATGGACAAATTTACTTAGCAATTGTTAGGTTATCGTTATTAATTTAAATAAACCACTATGACTGCATAACTTAATAAACTCTATTGGCATTAAAAGGGTCCGTTTGGCAGCCACCCTCAATCCCATTGTCGTTGATGAGCTCTTTTTGAATAATGCATCGACTTTTTGGCACTCATTCCTTAACGTTACACTAAAACTGTTTTTTCTCAAACTCATTTTCAGCTCCAATAATGGTAATGACGACGGCTCTCCAATGTCCAGTTCTGATGTGGAAACTTTTAACGGCAAAATAGTTTACAATCTCGATGGCAGCGCCATTATTATCGACGCAGACAATGCCAACGGAAGTGGATCGGTGTCTGCTCAAAGTTTACACGCCTTAACTTCGGCTTCAGCGTCAGCAAAGAAACTCTCAAAGGTCAAAGACAGTGGGCAGGAGGAGAAGCGAAAAGAACACCAGCATCAGAAACACCAACAGCATCTACAACATCAACAACATCAGGAAGAAAGCGAGGAACAGGAGCAGGAGCGAACCGATGCTGATGTGGATGTGGAGGCTGGTGGATGTGGTATTGGTGTCGAAGCCTTAGGAGGAGCAACCTACAAATTAAGTCCTAAAATCCATTCGTTTCGTGTGGTGTCCGCGCAAGATGCAAACTCAACTTGCCAGGATCAAATTAGAGCGTTCAAAATCCACAAACCGATTTTAATGTGTTTTATATGCAAGTTGTCCTTCGGCAACGTCAAGTCCTTCAGCTTGCATGCAAACACCGAACACAGACTCAACCTGGAAGAGCTGGACCAGCAGCTCCTTAACCGCGAGTACTCCAGTGCCATTATTCAGCGAAACATGGACGAAAAGCCGCAGATATCCTTCCTGCAGCCCTTGGACAACAACGCCACCTGTGCTGCCAGCGACGACACCGAGAAGCTTCAAGTAGCCCCTGATGGCATTGGCGCCCCTCTGCCGCCGTCTCCGCAGCTAGTTATCGGCAGCGAGAGCAAGTCCAAGCTGGAGCCCGAACAGAAGCTGGAGACTGAGCAGGTCCGGGCAGGTCTGGACCTCGAGCAGAAGCCTGACGGCGATCAGGACAGCAGCAGTAGTAGTAGTAAGATGGCAGCACCTAGTGCATATCTCCCATTATCATCACTATCGCCCAAAGTAGCAGCGAAATCAACTGTGAAACTTGGTTCCTTAAACTCAGCAACAGCAACAGCAACAGCAAAGACTAATAACCTATCGAAAGTATCCTCAACCAGTTCACCTTCACCCACATCGGCTTACGCGTCCGGAGAGCTCTCATCACCCAGTACTGATAATATAAGTATCAATAAGTCAACCAGTTACAACCCGGCAACGGAGCCGCCGTCGTCGTCGTCGTCGGAGGTCGAAGTGAAACTGGGCTCCATGTCCGCCTCACCCCAAACGAATGACTCGGATGTGCCCTGCCAGGACTTCCTGCAGCTGCAGCAGCTGCAGCAGCTAGCGGCCGGTGGCATTTACCCTCCTCAAGTCAGTTCCTTCCATGCCTCTCTAGCCGCGCTGGCCGCCAATGAATCGAACGACACCCGGGTGAAGCTCATCACCGAGTTCCTCCAGCAGCAGCTTCAGCAGCACCAGCAGCACCAGCAGCACCAGCAGCAGAGCTCGCTATTTCCCGCTAGTTCCCAATGTCCCGATCATCCCGACCACAATGGCGTGGACTGCAAGACCTGCGAACTCCTCGACATCCACCAGCAGCCGAAGTCTCCGTCCTCCTCTCACCAGCATCTCTCGCAGTCTCTGCCTCAGCTGCAGCTTCAGGTGCAATCCCAGTCGCAATCCCAGTCGCAGTCCCAGTCGCAGTCGCAGTCGCAGTCGCAGCAGATTCCACATCGCTCTCCTTGCGGTAACAGTGTTGGGCTGGCCATATCGCCCACTGCCTCATCGGTGGCCAGCGTGGGAAATGCGTCGAACGCCACGTCCAGCTTCACAATCGGCGCCTGTTCCGAGCACATCAACGGTCGTCCCCAAGGAGTGGACTGCGCGCGGTAAGCAGTAGCTTTTAAGAGTGGTAAGAGTGGCGTTTCGGGTTTCCGCCCATGGACTTCCTGGGGGATGGATGAGCTCCCAATGTGTTCCCGGTGTGTTCCCGGTGGTTAGACAGACATGGGTCTTGCCGCGAGCGGTTTATTTGGCTGATTGGTGAAGGGTTGCCGTCGAGGCCTGACTCAGTCACCCTGTGTGCAAAATATTGATCTGGCGGAAGGGGTTGCGATTACGTGTCGTCCATGCAGGCCTAATATGCGTAATTATTGAGGTCGTTTGAACTTTTGACTGGAACTGGAACTGAATCTTCTTGGCACTGCCGAACAATAAGTCATTAGGGAAACAACAGTAACGCCAGAGGAACATGATTCGTGCCCGCAGGCCACAGTTCCTCACTGGCTGCTCATTTAAACGCAAATGACGATTGGGATTTGGGTGGAAAGCACTCCGGTTAGTTAGAGCCCACTGATTGCATCACACTTGAATAATGAATAATGATGTTTGCTTTCATATCCCTGCCAGCCGACCGCATCTCTGGTTCCTTGCACAGCCCAAAATACTTATTATTAAATTGGCAAAAAGAATAGTAAATAATAAAGTTTAAAGTTTGTTAAAGTTACATTTTTGCCGAGGAAATTATTCATTGAAACCAACTTGCTACAAACAGAATATTAATAAAGTAATATCTCTAAATATGTTTGTCAAAGTCAAATAGCAATATAAGCCCATAGATCTTACAGAAGTGTAATAAAATTCAACGAATAAAAATAAGATAGCTTCGGCAAGACAAAGTCGGTATTCCCATGGGAGCATTATGACATAGTCATCCAATATCTTATTAATATTAAAACAAATAGAAAAACAGCGAAGTAATAATTTTTTAAATATTTTTTTTTGTAATTCAAAATGTAAGAGTTATACACTACATGCAATAGAAAATGCAAATGACTGACTGAAATTATAATACCCTTTGCAAGGCTATACAAACAGTTGACAAATAATTAAATTTGTTTCAATCAATTTCCTGATCTTTCCTTTGTCAGACACATGCCAATGTTCCATGTGCAAAATTCTATTGAAAATGTTTTCAATCTAAAAGACTTGCCGACCAAAAACGACTGACAAAACTATAGCACCCTCTGTAAGGTATACAACTCAAGTACCATTAAGCGTTTATAAATAGAAGAGATTTCTGGGCTTAATTTTACAGCAAGCATCTATTCCGAAGAGTTGATATTAATGAGTTCCATCCTACTTTTCGTCTGCGATCCAATCCATGCGTATGCGTATGTAAATTATATGCCTGTATATATTTCAATTAACAGTTCGTTGGGAAATCTTTGTTATGTTGCCATACAGATCATAGGGAGAGATATGTTTAATGTGGCAGGAGGGTGAGGATATGATGGCGGCTGAACCAACGAAAATTAAACCAATTGCGCTGATTTCACTTAATAAATGTTCTGCCGTCTGTCCGGCACCCAATTGTCACAATTTAATGGTGTCGCCTGGGTCGAGGCAAGCGACTGTGGACTCGGTATCATTAAAATGATAACTTGTTTGTTGCCGGTGGCACACTAATGAATGTGGAAACGGTTTGAGGTGCCCTCCCCACATTCGAAAGTCGGTTGGTCGGTTGCTATTCAAATTGAGCACAGAAATCACACCTAGAAACTAATATGTGAGGCAAATAAGAGGTTATCTAATTGAATCAAATCAAATCAGCATCACTTTCTTTCTGTTCACCTATTGATTCTTAAGTATTTATGTTATCTGGAGTGTTTAAAACCCATAATGACAACATTATGCTCATTGTTCTTCCTACACAGGTGTGAAATGCTTCTAAACTCGGCTCGACTAAACAGCGGCGTGCAAATGTCCACTCGCAACTCCTGCAAGACTCTGAAATGTCCGCAATGCAATTGGCACTACAAGTACCAGGAGACACTGGAGATCCACATGCGGGAGAAGCATCCCGATGGGGAGAGTGCCTGTGGCTACTGCCTTGCAGGTACTTAACTAACAAGATATGAATATTCTCGAGAGCAAAGATTAATAAAAAGCAACCAAATTCATTCCCAATTCAACCAGAAATTACCTAATACTTTAAAATTGTGTTAATGTTTTTTTCATGTTTTAAACTTTAGTTTTTGGAAATACTGCATGCACTTAAGATAAGTTTTTATGTGTACGGGTATACAGTATCACCAGACGAATGGATGAACACTATGATTTTAATGATTTCAACGTTAACATTATTGTTTTACACGCACATAAATCAAAATTTATATGTTTTCAAGAATATTTAGTTTTTGCAATAGCTGCAAGGGTATATAAGCTTCGGCTTCCCGAAGTTTGTTTCCTTTCTTGTTTTTCATATATTTATGCGGTTGTTCCCATAGAAGCTATATGATATTTATAAATATAAAACCGTAATTAATAAATATTTAAATATTTAAATTTAATATCTCAAAGCATGAACACAAAATTAAAAAATAGCGAAATAGTACTTTATTTATATGTTTTGATTGTTCCAAGGGGAATAATGTGATATAGCCGCTCAATTTTGACAAAATTAAAACCGTACTTCTGAAACAGTCAACCATTACTATATCCAAGAGAATATTAAAAAAAAAATTGAAAAACGATTGTTCGGTTATTGAAATAATAGTAGTAAATAGTAATTTGATAATTTAGTTCGCAAAGGTGAGATTCCCCATAAATTATCTTAATTTGAGAGTCGATCTGCGATCTGTTTATAAGGCTGATTAAAACTTTTCCAAGTTGTTTTTATTTTATTTATAGTCGAATCGGCCATCATATAGCTCCCATTGGAATAATCGGTACAGAGAAAAACAAAACACATCCTAAGTTTATACTAATATATTCTGAAATATAGAGGTAGTTTTTCATTTTAGAGTGAGGTAATTACTATTTTTATAGTATATAAACTTCGGCTTGTAGATGTCTGCCTTTTTTCTTGTTATTTATATTTTGTTGAGACATCCATTTTTTTTTTATCAATATTTGGAATAGATTCGATAAGCGTGTAATTTTAAAATATATTTGACCTAAAGTAAATAAGTGGAAACAAAAGTATCATTTTCTTAGGCTTAAAAAACAATACATTTTACCAGACTGGCGTTGAATTTAGCCTTTCATTTCGAATAGCTCTGATTCTATTATCATTTGTTCTCGTGGCACAGGACAACAGCATCCTCGGCTGGCTCGGGGGGAATCGTACTCGTGCGGTTACAAGCCGTACCGCTGTGAAATCTGCAACTACTCCACGACCACCAAGGGCAATCTCTCCATTCACATGCAATCGGACAAGCACCTGAACAACATGCAGGAGCTGAACAGTTCCCAGAATATGGTAGCTGCAGCGGCGGCCGCAGCGGCGACTAGCAAGCTGCTCCTCTCCAGCTCGTCTCCGGCTCACCAAGGCGCCAGTGCGGGTCCGTCCAACAGTGGATCGGTCGGAGCCTCCGGCGGCGCTGGCTGCAGCGGAGCCAACAGTGTGGGCGGCAACGCATCTCTGGGCGCAAACGCGGCAGCCGCAGGCAGTGGTGCATGCAACCCTGGTGCCAACGCCGGGGGCAGTGGAAGCAGCTCCAGTGGCAAGCCGAAGCCCTCGTTCCGGTGCGACATCTGCAGCTACGAGACGTCCGTGGCCCGCAACCTGCGCATCCACATGACCAGCGAGAAGCACACCCACAACATGGCTGTGCTGCAGAACAACATCAAGCACATCCAGGCGTTCAACTTCCTGCAGCAACAGCAGCAACAAGGATCCAGTGGATCCACTGTCCCTGGACTCGGCTCCGGCGGCTTCATGCCCGAGGTTGCGTTGGCCGATCTGGCGTACAACCAGGCGCTCATGATCCAGCTCCTCCACCAACAGCAGCAGCAGCAGCAGCAGCAGCAGCAGCAGCAACAGCATCAGCATCAGCAGTCAGCTAGTACCAAATTATCACCCTCATCGTCACCCGTGAGCACTCCGGATCAGTTCTCCTTCTCGCCAAAGCCAATGAAGATCGGTCACGGAGCGAGCGTTGGCTTGGGCCTGGGAATGCCAATGGGAATGGGAATGGGAATGAGTCACTCGAACGAGGTGCCCGGCGACTTGTCGGGCGATCCGCATCCACTGACGAAGACGGACAAGTGGCCTACGGCGTTCTACAGCTGTCTAATCTGCGACTGCTTCAGTACGAACAACCTGGACGATCTGAACCAGCATTTGCTGGTGGATCGGTCACGGCAGTCCTCGAGCGCCTCCACCGAAATAATGGTCATCCACAACAACAACTACATATGCCGGCTGTGCAATTACAAGACGAATCTCAAGGCCAATTTCCAGCTGCACAGCAAGACCGACAAGCATCTGCAGAAGCTCAACTTTATCAACCACATTCGCGAGGGCGGCCCCCGCAACGAGTACAAGCTGCAGTATCAGCAACAGCTGGCCGCCAACGTGGTGCAGCTGAAGTGCAACTGCTGCGACTTCCACACCAACTCCATTCAGAAGCTGTCCCTGCACACCCAGCAGATGCGGCACGACACGATGCGGATGATATTCCAGCACCTACTGTACATTGTGCAGCAGAGTCAGATGCTCAAGAAGGCTCCAACCACGGCGGAGGATGATCCCCAGTGCTCCTGTCCGGATGAGGATCAGCAGTTGCAGTTGCCAGCGCAGTCGACCAGAAAGCTGCTCCTCTGTCAGCTGTGCAACTTCACCGCTAAGAACCTGCATGAAATGGTGCAGCATGTGAAGGGCATGCGACACATGCAAGTCGAACAATTCATATGTTTGCAGCGTCGAAGTGAGAACCAAGAAATACCCGCACTGAACGAGGTGTTCAAAGTGACGGAGTGGATTCTGGACAACGAAGGTATGTTCCAATATTGCATAAGTCTTTATACATCAGCTTGGGCAGAACGATCTAACGATCTGCTTGCTATTTAGATCCTTTTTCCTTCGAACCACGTTTTAAGTCGGGTTAAACGCAATTTAAATAAAAGTATATAACAAAGTTTATCTGTTTTAAAAGCAACTGTTATTAAATTTTGTGACTTGGATTATTATTTTCTAAAGTGATTTGCTGCCCTGTGGCATAACATATTGATTGTCAATCACTTATGTATATTTAATAAGTTGAATGGCCTTGAATTTTGTTTGGTACAGTGCCTTCCGCAGTGCTAACAGGCTTAACTGAGATTAGATAACTAACTAGCTTAAAAAATGATATTGCAAATGGTTGTTATACTTAAAAATCCACAGCTGAATCTATTTAAAATTTGGGTTTTTTTTTACTATTGTTAGACCTCTTGTCAGGGTCGTTACATTTGTAAGCAGCAGTTAGCAAAAAAAAACAAGAAAGAGCGATATTGTCGAGTTCCCCGACTATTAGATACCCCTTACTCAGCTGATAAATTGCAAACTTAATATTCGTGGTGGCGCCATCTGTCAAACTGCACTGCCAACACTACAAGAAACCGCCACGCCCTCGCAAATGGAAATGTTCATATTTCTGTTTGTTTAAAAAGGTTGTGTGTTCTTGGCAAAGTTTACAACTTGACCTGCGTGAAGTTCATACAGGTTCATACAGTCGATGCTGATCATAAATGTGTAAATTCATTTTAAAGAGTAAGATCATTTTTTTAAGTTAATTTTTCTATAACGTAAGGTTTTAAACCCGAATCAAAAGCGATTTACTCTTTCTTTAGCAACTATCTCGCTATATTTCAACATTTTTTTTCAGTACACTCTATACCAAAAGTAAATACTTTGGCCAGCCTGCGAAAGATAATCGTAAATTATCAGCATATAATTTTTTTTTTTGGAAATATGCTATTACTGATATTTAAATTATACTCGAAATGGCCTTTCGAAAATGTACCAGAATAGAATAAATTTAATCGAATACACACACTCACACACACATATATATATATATATATATACATTAAATATGTATTCGTTGAAATGATTACGTGCATAAATACAAACGCTGCTCATGATTTTGAAAAATTTCCCCTACCACAAGCCATAACCATATTGCATTGTATAATACGGTTCGTTCGTTCGTAACTCATCATTAAGCGCTGATTTCAGTTCAATTTCTTCTGCCCCGCTCTTCGATTATTATCGTCTTCCTCTTCGCCCTTGCTTCGGCTTCGTCTTCGTCTTCGTCTTCGTCTTCGGCCTCGTCCTCGAACCCATCCTCACGTTCGGAATCATCGTCGCGTCGCGTTTACGTAAATTCTTCTTTGCCTTTGCTCTCGCCTTCGCCCTCTCTTTTCCTTTAGCGACTCATATGCGCTCTGAGATTTATACGCTGACGCTGACCCTTAAGGAAATTATTACAAATTACTTAAGAATGCAAAAACGATTATGTGTATCCATCGAATTTGCAATTAGTGACGTGCACACTTTGCTCCACACCAGTCTCAGTCTCAGTCTCAGTCTGCAGCTTTAGCCTCAGTCTGCAGCTCAGTCTGCAGCTCAGACTCAAGCTAGTCTTCTCTTTACTTCAGTATGGGTATACAATGCCCACAATCCAAAAGGCCAAACAAATTCACTACACTCCACTCCGCAGTGTGAGATTCCCATATCAGATGCGCGGCGTCGTGCAGGGCCGAACCGCAGGCATAGCACCTAACCACAGAACACCGAACACAGAACACAGAACACCGAACACCGAACAGAAAGACCGAAGCTCGCAGATGCAGAGACACAACAAACAGTCGCCGCTCCACCACCACTTCGTACGGCAATACGGCATCACCAGCTCCCCATCACCCCGCACCCCGCACAGCATCAATTTAAAGCCAGGTCAGATTCGCCATCGCCATCGCCCTCACCTTCGCCTTCGCCTTCGCCTTCGCCCTGGTTGTGGTCCTGGTCCTAACCTGGCCACCATCTGCGTACCTGCGCCCACTCCTTTCAAGATGTTGATAATTGCACATGCTGCTCTGCACCAATGTAGGGTGTCTCGGGCCTATATGCAAAAATGAAATACTTGCCAATGCAGACAATGAGGACCAAACGATTTTCGCCGTCTGTGGCTGCTGACTGAAGAGTCTTGCGCCTGCGGATTCAAAATGCACTCCTCTCTGCGATATTTCCCCTTGTCCCCGATTTTTGTTCACTCCATCGAATGCTAATTCTCGTAGTTTTTTTTTTTGATTAGTGAGTGCTTACACCAAACCATTTGGAGTAAGTTGCTTTCACGAAACCTTTACACAAAACCTTTATTCAAAAACATATTTAACTGTTGAAAATAGTTTGGCTCAACAATTTGTATTATAATTTTAGTCAGTAGTTTGCAATGCAGTGAAGAGACACTTCTGATCCTATATAGTATTCATTCATATTATCCCAGCCAGGAGTTTCCGTACCGTCATCCCATTTTTTGAAAGTGCTGCGAGGACTAACTATGCGCGGAGTGAGCCAATCTTAAGATCTTTAAGACTTTTTAACTCTTTGCCACTAAGTATTCGACTGGTTTGGGGATCCAAGAAGGATGTGCTTAGGCAATTGCTTAGGGAATATTTTTTAATTAATACTTAGTTTTAAGTTAAGTTAGCTGATAGCCAGATAAGGATTTATCCATCCATTGGCGAATAAATAAATAAATAAATAAAGAGCCGATCCATTCATCCGCCCGTTCGTCCCTACGAAAACTAGTCTCTCAAGACTTCTCAATCTTTTGCAGGTGGTATATAAGTCGGAAAATAAATACAACAAATTTGAACTTTAAATTTCATCAAAATCGAACGACTATATGATATAGCTACCATAGAAACAATAAAAATATAAAAAAAAAAACAAGAAAGAAGGCAAGCCGAAGTTCATATACCTTTGCAGCTATTGCAAAAATTAAATATATTTGAAAACATTGAAACTATGCAGCTCAATTATTCGATAGTTCCTATGGAAGCTATATGAAATCGTTTTCCGATTTTAATAAAACTAAAAGCTTAATTTTGAAATGCACACCTCCGCAAGGGTATAATAAATACGCCCCAGAAAACAATCGGGATTTAGGTGGTGCCAACTGCCGAGCATTTACTCTTTGACGCTCGTTCCATTTGGGCTGCTTTATTGCTTTAATGCGCAGTTTTAAACCCTTATAGTTTCAGTCCGAAGTTTGCAACGCAGTGAAGGAGACATCTCCGACCCTATAAAGCATATAAATTATTGATCAGCATCACTCGGAGAGTCGATCTTTATGCATAAAACATTCCCAAAAAATGTCTTTCTATAGCAGGGAGTTTATAAGTCGCAACGAGCCGGAACGTTTTTTTATTATTTATTCGAGATAAATTGGTTAAATATTTCAAAAACCGAACGCATATATCATTTATCTCCCATGGGAACAATCAAAATAATAACATTTAATTTTTGCAATAGCTGAAAAGGGTATATGAACTTTGACTTGCCGAAGTTTACTTCCTTTCTTGTTTTTACTTAGGATTTGCTTAGGGAGGTAGAGATGGGGAAAAACAGTGTGTAGTGCTGACCTCGTGACTTTTGGTCGATATTTACTCGGTATTTGGCTTATCGTTCCACTATCGAGCGCAACTATCACCTCTGATAACAAGAAACAATAACAAAAAACAGCTGACAAACGAAGGCGGGAGGTCATAGATTTTAATTTTGTCAATTGCAAGCGAGGTTTCATGTTAAAAGGGAAATTTGACTTATTGAGTACTATAAATCAAAATTTTACTTAGCTTTACTGGTGCTTTTCTAGATTTTGTTAGTATTAATTTTTAAATCAAAACAAACAATTACCAAATTCTTTGAGGTATACGGAAATTCTGCTTCATTGCGTCTAGTCCGATATCGATAGAAAACTCACGTGAGTATAAGTAATGCTCCGACGTGGATATTTGTAAGATTAGATACATTTTTAAGCAATAAACATATAAAGAAAATAACTGTCATCTTTCAGAGTTACATGATCGAAAATAAATTCATTTTATAGTGTCGGATACGCCTGCTTTTACCTGTTACATACTTACTATACTAGTAACAGGTACAATTAAGATTTCGTTTTCTGGCAGCTGTATTATCAGACCTGTTCCAGTTTTCACTAGGAAGAGAATTTGAAAACATTTTCGGATTTCCTTTGACATAGTTGAATTTCCCTTCTTCTTTGGGGATTTATCACTGAATTTTCCTGACTGGCAGCCGTCCGATATTGAAAAAGGTTAGGGGTGTTTAAATTTTACCCTGCTGGTGTCCCTCATCGAATACCATTAATAGAGTACTAATTTAAAGCACAAAATCGATGAATCTAGCATCGAAAACAATTTTTATGTATATGTATTATGTATTTTATGTATACAAAAATCACATAATACTATTATTCATTAAAAAAAAACTGAATATAAGAGTTATTTTTCAATTATATTTTTAATCAATTATAAAAGTTTATACTATAAACAAAAAAAAACTATGGCCTCCTCATTTATGTAGACTTTAATTTAGCCCATGATTTTTTCAACCTCATAACAGTTATTTTCGGTGCCTGCTATGAAGTATATATATTCTTGACCAGCATCACCAGCAGGGTCGATCTAGCCGTGTACGTATGTCCGTCCGTCCGCCCGTCCTTTCTCACCTTCTTTCAGTTTTTAAGCTATCCGCATGCAACTTTTCAAAAAGTTTTCGAATAGGACGACTATATCATATAGCTCCCATAGAAACGATCGGGGAAAAAAGAAAATAAATTATAACTTTGTTGTTTTTCAACTTTGGTTTTAAGTTCTTCGATATTTAATGATGATTTATTATTTTGGAACTACATATAGCTCCCATGGAAAAAATTTTAACTTCTCTAATTTTTTTAAAATTTATTTGAACAGAATGTCGCTTTTAATTTTACCCAAATCGGAAAACGATATCGCATAGCTGCCATAGAAACGATTGAATAATTGAGGTGTAGATAATCATCAATTTAGATGTTCAGATATTTAATTTTTGCAAGAGCTGCAAGGGTAAAAGAACTTGGCCGACCGAAGTTTGCTTCCTTTCTTGGTAAAAAGTCAAATAAGTTATTTTTAACCAAGCTATAATCTTCTTAAAACATCAGAGAACTATATAAAAATATCTTTTGCACTTTAAATTATCGCAAAGAATTTAAAAACAATTTATTTCTGTGCTTGCGGATCTGAATCCGTTAGCCAAATGCTTGGCGGAAAGTTTCCGTTAGTTTTTTCGGAAGATAACAAAGAATTAAAAGAGAGAATCTCGGTCTCGGAAATTCGAATTCGTGCGAGTTTTTCGGAAAACTGGAACAGTGCTGATATACTGATGTCTCCTTTTCTGCTTTGCAAACTTTTAAGTGAAATTATAATACCCTCTAACCTTGACTTGTGAAAATTGTGTGGGTTTATTTTTACTTATGTATAAGCCACAAAAATCCACGGAAAAACGCTTAGAAAGTCGGTTTAAGTGCTGTTGGGATTAAAACTAATAAAAGGCTTTTGAGCAATGCTGCCAGAGAACCCTTTTTGGTCAGCTTAGCCTGGCGAGTCCTTTAAAGGAATCCGCGTTTTAAAGCAATGAAACTTATCAAAAAGTCGTTTTGTTGCAGGTAGTGTATTAGTCGAAACGGACAGGATCGGTTTACTATATTGTATGGAGAATAATGAAAAAATTCAGCGGAATATCGACATACACAAACGCATAAAAATCGATGTTTAGTCGTTTTAAGGAACGTTTAACTTGAAGCTGCAAGAGTATGTGAACTTCGGATATCCGAAGTTTGCTTTCTTTTCGGTTCCTTCTCGATTTTTTTTTTACTAGACTTTAAGCTTCGATAAGTTGGGCCTTTTAATGTTGTTTTGTATCCGATTTTATGAAAATGTTCTGATATCTGCAATATCTTGTGTTTGTGTTTACTTTTCAGAAGTTGCTTTCGAGAGTGGCTTTAACTTGGCCAGAACGGAACCAAATGATAGTACCTCCGATGTCAGCTTTGCGGCAGCATCATCTGCGACTGCCCCCGCCATTCCAGATGGCAGTATTTTTTCACCGACTTCTCCTCTGAGTTGCGCGACATCATGCGGCAAGAGTTTGGGTTACATTGCATCGCCCAGCGCAAATAGCTTTGGTTCAGGTGCCGGTGCCGGTGCCGGTGCCGGTGCCCCAGTCCCCACCACAGTATTCAAGTGCAATCTCTGCGAGTACTTCGTGCAATCGAAAGGCGACATGGCCTCTCACATTGAGACTGAGCACCCATGCGCCGAGAGTGATGACTTCATCAGTATACCAACCAACACCGCTGCCCTGCAGGCTTTCCAAACAGCTGTGGCAGCAGCTGCGCTAGCTGCGGTGCAACAGCGTTGCGCCGCTATCAATGCACCGACACCGACACCGACACCGACGCAAGACGATGTCGAAGCGGACAAGAACTCGGACGCGAATGCTGGCGACGGCCCAGTGGCCATCAAGCGGGAGCGGCTTGAGGAGGAGGACGATCCCATGACCGCCGTAGAGGACACCAAAGAGATTACTTCCCAGGCGCCGGCCTCTTCGGAGTCGCCGAAAGATCCGGACACGGACACTCAAGTCGGAGTGCAGTGTCCCTTGTGTCTGGAGAACCATTTCCGGGAGAAGCAATACCTGGAGGCCCACTTGACAAGCGTGCACAGCGTTACCAGGGACGGCCTCTCCCGACTTTTGTCGCTTGTGGATCAGAAGGCCTGGAGGAAAGGAAGTGAGGGCATCGGCAAAGCCTCCCAAGCTCTGTATACCAATAGCAACACGGAGGAGGCAGCCCCAGCACCTAGTGAAGTCTTCGAGGAGTGCACTTCCAGCCTTTCGGCCTCCAGTACGAACGCAGCCAAGGGCACCACTGCCACCAACACGAGTCTCCCAGTGGGAATGCAGGGGCTCTCCTGCCAGCAGTGCGAGGCTAGCTTCAAGCACGAGGAGCAGCTGCTACAGCATGCGCAGCAGAACCAGCACTTCTCGCTGCAAAACGGAGAGTACTTGTGCCTCGCGGCCAGCCATATAAGTCGGCCCTGCTACATGAGCTTCAGGAGCATTTCAGCCATGATCAGCCACTTCCAGGACTCGCACATGAGCTTAGTCATCTCGGAGCGCCATGTCTACAAGTATCGGTGCAAACAGTGCTCCCTGGCGTTCAAAACCCAAGAAAAGCTCACCACGCACATGCTGTACCACACAATGCGGGATGCCACCAAGTGCTCCCTTTGCCAGCGCAACTTCCGCAGCACGCAGGCGCTGCAGAAGCACATGGAGCAGGCGCACCCCGAGGATGGAGCACCACCAGCCAGGTCGAACAGTCCGCAGACGCCGACATTGAATGCCGAGGAGGGGCACAACCACTCATCGGGGGAGGCCCATGCCCAAGAAAGAGGTAAAGTTACTTCCCAAAGATTAATTAGAATTTCGATTGAGCTCAGCATTAATTTGATCGTCTGGACGACTTGATTGCAGAGCTCCCAGCGACTGATGTCTCAACGCTTCGTGCGGAATCGCAAGCCAGCAAGGAAACTAGGCACTTGTCGCCCAGCCCAATGTCCCAGGACGCCCAGACCCAGCAGCAATACCTCGCAACCTTCGCAGCCTTGCTGAAGCAGCAGCAGTGCAACTCAGATGTAGGCCTCCACCCCGATGCCCTGTCACTGTCCACTGGAGAGTTTTCTCAGCACTTGCAGGTAGTGCCCTCCCCACATGAGGTTTGCGTGCTTGAGGACATGCCACTAATACACATTCTTTCAGGGCCTGCAAAACTTACAAAATCTTCAGCACATTCAACAGCAGTTTGGGAGCGTAGCTGCCGCATCGGGACTACCGATCAATCCGGTGGACATGCTAAACCTGATGCAGTTTCACCACTTGATGTCCCTCAACTTCATGAACCTGGCACCGCCCTTGGTCTTTGGCGCCGGGGCCTCCGGAAGCAACGCTGTTCCCGTGTCGACAGGCCAAAACAACAGCATTACCTCCTCCGCGGCTGCTGTGTCAGGATTGGCTGATGTCCAGCTCGCCAGCGGAGTCAACGCCTTGCCGGTGGACTCGGCTAAGGCTTCGATGGTCTCAGCTCAACCTCAGCACAATGTCAACTCAAACTCTCAGGTACTTGTCATATTAAGATTGTGATTGTCAACATCATTCTGTTTTGATCTTGAAATGAAAAAGATTATAACTTTGTTTTTTTTTTTTCGAGATATAGTATTGGTTTAATATTTCAGAGTTACGGTTTGAATCTAATTATTTAATTAGTCGGACGACTATAACATATAGCTCCCTTGGGAACAATCGGAATATTAAAATAAAGACGTGTGAAAAAAAAACCTTCTTTTTAACTTTTTTGAACAAATTGTTTTAAACATAGTAATGGTTTCATATTTTAGATTAGCAATTTTGATTGTATTAAAATCGAAAAACTATTTCATATAGCTGCTAAGGTCGATCGAATAAATGAGCTAAAAATCGCCACAGCTTAAATGTTTTTAAACATACTCGTGTTTTTAAGCATTCTGTTTGCCGAAGTTTACTTTCTGTACTGTTTTTCATTATATTTCCTTGAAAAATTGTTCTAACATTCTTTAAAAGTTGTATAATAACATGTAATCAAATTAGAAAAAAATATTATAAATGTCGCCGTAAAAAATCATAAAAATATTCGTTTTTTTTGCCTTTAAAACCCTACATTCAGGTTTTATATAGAATAGTTATTAATAAATTCAAAAAATATTAAGAAAATGTTGCTTGACGGTAAACGTTTTTTGCTATTACAGCTGGCCAGCAACCAAAAGCGGGCCCGAACGCGTATAACAGATGACCAGTTAAAGATTTTACGCGCACATTTCGACATAAACAACTCGCCAAGCGAAGAAAGCATAATGGAAATGTCACAAAAAGCAAATCTACCGATGAAGGTAAGGCTTCAAAAGCTTGATAGAGTACGGTTTTACAAAGATATTCTGTTTTAGGTGGTAAAGCACTGGTTTCGAAACACTTTGTTCAAAGAAAGGCAACGGAACAAGGATTCTCCCTATAATTTCAACAACCCACCGTCGACAACTCTTAACTTGGAGGAGTATGAACGCACAGGTCAGGCCAAAGTTACCCCTCTAAATGATACCAGTAGCGTCGCAATAACAGCGCCCATGACGACAGCAACGATTTCATCAGCATCGCCTGCTATTACCAATCTGAGCTCAAAAGAAAACGCAACTGCAAGGGTAACAACGGTTGGAAAGGCAATCGCTTCAGTGCCCGTCTTGTTCCCTGCTACCGTTCCAATCTCAACGCCAGTTTCTCGCCCAGAATCTACGAACTCGAGCGGCAATATATCCGATTACCTTAGCAATAATCTATTTTTTGGACAGCAGGGGGGTAAGGACCAAGGCTTGCCATATCCTGCGGAAGAGCAGATAAAGTCGGAGCCTCAGGACAATATGATTGGGGCCAATGACTTCGCATTCCAAACAAAGCAGCAGCCAAACTTTAACTTTTTAAAGCATCAGCAGGAACTTGGGGACCCGCAAGAACAATCTATTACGAATCAAGACACGGATATTTCGCAGGACCAATCAATACTTGCAGGTTCTTCCATTACGGCTCACTGTCAAGGCCAACAGCAAACAAACATCTTTGAAACGAAATCGGAGAGTGGTAGCTCCGATGTGATGTCGCGTCCTCCTACTCCGAGCAGTGCAGCTGCGGGAAACCTCTACGGCAGTATGAACGATTTGATAAATCAGCAATTGGAAAACATGGGCAGTAACATGGGACCACCAAAAAAGCTTCAGATTGTTGGCAAAACTTTCGACAAGAACTCAACACCGCTCTCCAGTTCGGCGAGTGCTAGCACTCAGTTTGAAAGCAACTCCTCCAACTCATCGAGTTCTTCATCCTCGACTTCAGGTGGCAAGAGAGCTAACCGAACTCGCTTCACTGACTATCAAATAAAGGTTTTGCAGGAATTTTTCGAGAATAATTCATACCCGAAAGACAGTGATCTTGAGTATTTGAGCAAGCTCTTGTTGTTGTCTCCCCGTGTCATCGTGGTTTGGTTTCAAAACGCCAGGCAAAAGCAACGCAAGATTTACGAAAACCAACCGAACAACTCGCTTTTCGAAAACGAGGAGACCAAAAAACAAAACATCAACTATGCGTGCAAAAAGTGTAGTTTGGTGTTCCAGCGGTACTACGAGCTAATCCGACATCAGAAGAATCACTGCTTCAAGGAGGAGAATAACAAAAAGTCAGCCAAGGCCCAAATTGCTGCTGCTCAAATCGCCCAGAATCTAAGCTCGGAGGACTCTAACTCCTCCATGGACATACACCATGTTGGCATTTGTCCGTCAGGCTCATCAGTGGTTTCGCAAGCCGTTTCTGCAGCTCCTCTGGCGGGACAGTTCGCACAGCAATCGTTTGGCGCTCTGCCCTCACCGCAGCATATGTTTGCGAAGTCTGCCTCCCTCACTGACTTCAGCCCTTCCACCACTCCTACGCCCCCCCAACGAGAACGCAGCAACAGCCTGGACCATCCACAACGGCCTTCCAAGTTCGACTGTGATAAGTGCGAACTGCAGTTTAGCCACTTGGAGAAATTGCGAGAGCACCAACTATTGCACCTGATGAATCCAGGTAACATTTTCTCAGATGCAGGCCAGAACTCCAATCCAGACGCCAACTTCGGTCCGTTCGGCAGTATACTGCAGAGCCTACAGCAAGCAGCGGCGCAACAACAACAACAACAACAACAGCCTCAACAGCCTCAACAGCCTCAACACCAACCACCACCGACAAAAAAGCGAAAATACTCGGACAGCTCTTCCAATCCAGATGAAATGCCGACCATATCGGAACTCGAGGCTTCACATAAGAAGCACGAATTCCTGTACAAATACTTTATGCAGAACGAAACGAACTCGGAGCTGAAACAGCAGTTTCTCATGCAAAGCCAACACAAGAAGGCGTTGCAGTTTCAATCCCAAGAGCAAGGAACTGAATCCGACTTTGAATTAGAATTCTTAACCAATTTCTATCAGCAGAGTGAGTTAAAGAAAGTCAGTAACTATGACTTTCTACTGCAGTACTACCGCACTCAGGAGGAGGCAGCCCTGAAGACCAAGTCCAAGCAACAGCATCCGTTTAGCTCCAGTAAGAAGCCAACTATCGAGTTCCTACTGCAGTACTATCAACTGAACGAGTCAAAGAAGTTTTTTCAGTTAGTTGCCTCGCCCCAAATAATGCCTGATGGCCTAGGCTACAAGCCGTCGTCGCCGATGCTGAAAGCTACGACGGACGAAATCATTGACGTTAACGCCGAAACATCGTTGGCGCAGGCAACAGAACTACAGAAAGAGGAGCAGGATGAACAATTCAGCATAGACAGGCCATGCGACGACAATGAGTTGTTCAAGACCAAAAACGAAGTGGAAAAGCTTAATAACAACAACATTAACATTAATATCAACTCGGCTCAAACCGATACAACCGTGGCGAACGATATCGAATCAGTTGAAATGGCAGAAGAGTCGGTGCCAGTGGCTCCCACATCAATAGCAATCAATGACAATGGCAAATATTTGAGCACGAGATCCTTACAAACAGACGACAAGGACAAATCCCAGTACCTACACAACCTTGAGGATTTTCTGGATGCCACTATGATAGAGAACAACTCTCAGACCCTGACTTTCAATGATGACGACAAAGCTTGCCAAAAGGACGAAGCGAGTATATCAATCCATAAAGCAAACGATATGGAGAAACGCTCTTCTGTGTCTCCGGTTAACGTTTCATCCAAACAAAACAAACGTCTACGTACAACCATACTTCCGGAGCAACTTAACTTCTTGTATGAGTGTTACCAATCCGAATCAAATCCAAGCCGAAAAATGCTTGAAGAGATATCTAAGAAAGTAAATCTTAAGAAACGAGTAGTGCAAGTAAGTACCAGCATACATACATATATGCAAAGAACCCAGAAAATTTGCTTAGGATTTAATTCGAAAAGCTGTGAAGGAGATTTAAGTATCACCTTCTTATTCTAATTTTTAAAGATATACTGGTCTAGACATGTCCGTCCGTCCCTCCAAACTTACATATGTATCTCTTAGTTTTCAGCAGGGATGAATCAATATTGGTTTCGGCTAGTGTTACGACCAATAAATATATATAAATATATATAGTAACTGTTTAAGTAATGGTTTCGGCTTTGGTTTTACCGCAACCAAAACAAGTTGTGGTTACCAGTTTAAACAAAACCACACCGTCTTCCGACGATGACTCGGTTCTCGGTTGTTCCTTGTGAATCTCCCGTTATTTTCCTCGGGCATTCCTTTTTGGTGTTTGTGGTACCGTTGCTTTTCTAATGTCGCCATTCTCTATGTGAGTTCGCCGTCACTCAGGTAATCGAACACAATATTCGTTGAAAAGTATGTTACAGATTGAAGGAATCACTTCCGACTATATAAAGCATAGGTATTCTTGATCAGGATCAATAGCCGAGTCGATCTAGACCTGTCCGTCTGTCTGTCCGTCCGTTTCTACGCAACCTGGTCTCTCAGTTTCAAAAGCTATCTGCACGAAACCTTTCCAAACTGTTTATCTGTTGGAGTACATAATTCGGAAAGAGCCGGATCGGACGGCTACAGCATATATCTCCCATAGGAACAATCAGGAAAATAAATTATAAAAAAAAATATATGAAAAAAAAATTTTTAATTCTTTATTTTTACTTTTCTTAATTTTTTGAACATAATAGAATTGCGCTTTTAATTTTATTCAAATCGGAAAACGATATCATATATCTGCCAGAGGAATAATAACGAATATTTAATTTTAGCAATAGCTGCAAGGATATATAAACTTCTGGTTGCTGACGTTTGCTTCCTTCTTTGTTTGGAGAAAACATTAGCAGAACCGGTACCAATGTTTCGGTATCGGTTAAGGTTATTCCGGTTGCTGTATAATTCGATTACGGTTTCTGGTGTCGGTTTCGCTAACGGTTTTGATTAGGATATACCGGTGAATAATAACGTTTACGAATCCGGTCTTAAGACTACACTAATGAAACTTCCAAATATAGGTTATCGAACGACTATATCGTATCAAACAAAAACATTTCTTGACGAGGTAAAATTAACGTGACGATCGCACCTTCAACTCCAAAAACTTCTGATACCAGATTTGTGACGATTATTATTTATGGACCCAACAGTTCGAATATAAGAAACATTTTTTTTTCGCACTTTCACGCACATCTCTCCGGAACCAAAAGACTTTCTTAAATTCTCAGCATGCACAAATTTCAATATTGCGACTATATATAGAGTTTCCTTCTTTTATACATCGCGAATAATCGGCATATATATATACACTCAACCGATTTGATGGGTTTTAAACAGCATACAATCATGATCTAGGGCAAAAACCAGCGATTTATTAACAAAATATTCTATATCTAGTTCCCACTGTAACTTTATTTCGTTAAAAATGACAAAAAATATGTTTCGTTTTAATATGTTATCATATAATTGTTTTTATACAGATGTCCTTATTATTTTCCTATTATTAATTTTTATTGTTTTTTACTTTATTTTTTAGTGAAAATGCAACACAGAACTATAAAATGATAGACAATCTTAAACTTATAGCCCAAACAAATGATTGGGCTACAGACTGATTTTTTTAAGTCATACTCTATAGCTTGCGAAAAAAACATGAAAGGTAAATAATGTAATAGTTGAAATTGTAGTCTTCTAAAAAGCAGAAAAAGCAGCAAAAGCAGCACTCATAACTGCTCTATTTTGCACTATTTTTCCAGGTCTGGTTTCAAAATTCTCGCGCCAAAGACAAGAAATCTCGCAACCAGCGACACTATGCCCACATATCTGACGACAACAGCTATGATGGCTCAAGTGGCAAAGACGTTGCCAGCGACCTGAAAGCAAATGGCGTGTCCGCGGAACAGGATCACGAACTGAATCTTCAGGACTGCCAGCTGTGCCAAGTCACCCAAGTCAACATCCGAAAGCACGCTTTCAGCGTAGAGCACATCTGCAAGATGAAGAAGCTACTCGAACAAACCACCGAGCTTTATGCCCAGAGCAATGGCAGCGGCAGCGACGACAACGATTCCGACAGGGAAAAGAGATTTTACGACTTATCGAAGGCCTTTCTGCTCCAACATGTTGTTTCGAACGCGGCAAGCAACGCCAATCTCACGCCGGGATCTGGACAGGACTCAAATGCTCTTCCGGAGGAGAACTGTTTGCTTAACTATAACACTGCTGGCGGTGATTCGAAGAGTCACATCCAGCACAACATGCCTGCCGAGATCGGCAATGATGAGGTCCGTAAGATCGCTGGTAATCAGGAACTTATGCAGCAGCTATTCAACCGAAACCATATCACCGGTAAGAGTTTCGGCGGGTTAAAGAATTTCGTTTTTTATCTCATCTGTTGATCAGACTTAAATTAACCAGTACAGCTTGCTTTTTATTTTGTATAAACTTGCAATGTCTATTTATTTTTAATTAAACGAGCTTTGTTTTGTTTTTGTTTTGCCGGAAAGATGTTATACGAACATATACGAACAGAAACAGACAATCTTTTAAAAAAAAAAAAACATTGAAAACCTATTATTATAAATATACTTTTAACGCCTCGCAAATTTAAACATAACAAACAAAAATTATAAAATATTTATATATTTAATAGGGTGTAGCTATATGAATATAACATTAATGAGACATTTTATACATATGTATGTAAGAATATGTATCTATGTATATGTGTGTGTAAAACTATAAAAGCGGACTATGTGTTGCATTGTGTGAGGAAGAATGTGGCACGTCAAGTAAACTTTTAGGAACACTTTAAGTGTTAAACTAAATCAACAAATCAGTACATGGTACTTTTCTGCTAATCTTCTTTGCCTTCCGTCTCGAGATTTGCCAAATCCCCAATCTATCCCGACGTTTTTTGAAGCGACCATAAAAAATATAAATCAATGTTTTGGAAATAATCGATATAAACTGAGTTTTTGGTGCTACAATTACCGATATTGACACTTGATGAGTGCCTAAATAAATATATTTAATGTATAAATCAACTACTGCAAGAACCGAATAACATTAGTATACTGAAACATGTACAAAAATAAACATTTTATTTTATTCAAATCATTTATTTCCAATTTGCATTTTTATTTTTATTTTAACAATACTTTGGTTTGTAATGTCAATGATGAAATCTTTTCAATTCGAGTAGTGTTACGCAATCGAAAATGATAACTATGCAATCGGTGAAATCTAAATCAGTAACTCTCATCTTATTAGTTATAGGTGGAAAGTAAATTGGAGTGTTTGTATGGCCTTATAACCGTGGTGGTGGTTAAAACTTAGGTGAGTTGCACTACTCAAACTTATCATGACACACTAAATACATATGTTCTATATTACAGACTACGAATGGAAAAATGACTGCATATTGAGATGCGAAAGATACGTACACGACACAAATACGAACATAAACAAACCATACTACGAAAACTAAAAAGTTCCTATTTTAATGAAATTTATAAAAACATTGACATTCCACGAACCAAGTGAATATACAGATATATGTATTGAAATTCTTGCGAATACCTATTTCAACATTAGTAAGAATTTCTTAGTTATACGGCAGTGTTCCTAACTATTCAAAATATAAATTAGCGATAATCTTAAAGTATACACAATTGTGGCAATCCTAAATAATTCGAAATGGAGGGCTTAATTTTGATAAGTCGAAATACCATGGCAGCTCCAAACAAAATTATATAACAACTAGATACATATATAATGAACTAGATTTAATGACACGTAAACTGAGTTCCTAGCATTTGATTGCTTTATGCCTTTGTTTTCTATATTAGAATGTAATCAATGAACACTAAGATCTGCTTCGGCATGCCGATCTTTTAAATATTTTTCAAAAGTTTAAGATATACAGTGGTTCCTATTAAATTTTCGGAAACTGTACAAGGATATGAACATATAAACAGCTTTTTATTTATTTAATTATGTCATAAATATGCTGAGAGTAAATGTGCCAATATTTTATTTTGCAATGCATGCTTATAGCATAGAAAACATTGTATCTTTGAAGCTATATTATACTCAAAATTGAATGCGTTTCAAATTCTATAAAAAGAACACGTATCCTAACTAATTAAAAAAGGAAGAAAAAAACAAATGATTAAAAAACAAAGTATGAGTTTTAGTTGTTGGTTTGTACCTCTAAATTCCTTTCCATGTTAAATATTTGTTACGGCGAGTTAAACTATTAATTCACATTCAAAAATAATTTTGTATTTTTAATGACGTATATTTGAAATTTATGTTTTAGACTTAAAAGAATAAATGTCAACTTCTAGGCGGAAGACAGGAGTTACTATTTCACAATTGCGTTGATTTTTTATTGAAGCTTCCAATACAGAACTTAGAATTTAAAACAAAGTCTCAGCTTTTTATTGTACCGTTATTTACTATATATAATTTTTTTATATTTTCCCTGCCAATCTAAGAAAAGATATTTTGAGAAGACACAGTTGGCCCAAAAAAACAGTTAAATGATATTTAAACAAAATAGTGTTAGACTGATTCCTTTTTCCAAAACTTTTAAATTACCCATATTTATATGTATTCAATGTCATTCCGCATCACTTACATCCATACGTACTCGTATATGCATAAGTGTATTGTTAACTGCAAAAAATATATACATATGTTGCGAAACATAAGAAAAATGTACTAAGAAGTTCCTATAGAATTTAATAAAAAGAAATACAAATATATTTACGTGTAAGTTCAGAAATACCATTATTTTCTGTTTATCTAATTTTAAATTATGACAGGAAAATGATGAAGAACTAATCAGCATATGTCCATATTAACATTAGAATATTAAAAATGTGTGCAGTGTTTAAAATCCCATAATCATTTTATAAAATAATTATTTTCATACCTATGTACTTAAGCATTCATAATTGCCAAGAAACACAGATTGACATATTTGGACATAATAGCAGTCTTACACTTTCATATATATGTATATGATCATGAAACTATACCCTCGCAATTACAAATATGTACTAGTTAACAAAACTAGTCGGTACGATAAACATATTTGATCAACATACATATGTAACACACAAAATAATATGCGATTTCACAGACGAGATCAGAACTTTTATTGCTCAATAGATAGCCACCATATATACTTTCGTATGTATGTATAAATATATAACATATCACCATAAACATACTAAACTAGACTAAACCCTAAAAAGTTCGGTCTGTTCCTTTTTTCCAAATACAATTTTTAGCAATGACCTTGTCTTTATATTTTTGAATTGACTACATACATAGTTTGTGATTATTATGTTAATTTATCTTGGGTTCTCCACTGGGTTTCCTCTGAGCTAAGTAATTGTACATATATATTTTGTGTGTTAGTGGGAATGCTAAGCGCATTTTTGCCAATCATATACATATGTATGTACAACGTTGCTATTAGTTAATCGATTCAAACAATATTCTTGCTATACAAATACAAATACTTGATTCGTATATTCAGAGTAAGTAAACTTAAACGTAAACGTAATTTTAATGTCAACCTATGTATTAATCAGAGTTACTACAAATATTGGGTAAAACTTGAAAAAAGGAAAAATAAATACATATTTATAAAGTTCCTATATATTTAATAATTGGCAAAAGATGTGCATATATTATAAAATTATAACTTAATAAAGATATGAACAAAAAACACATGTGTTTTGTTCCATGTAAAGCTGGTCAAGAACTTGTGGTATTTAGCTTACATTTATTTACTTTATAACGACAACGGACTATATTTCGTTCTATCTCCTGAGTATCGTACAAATTCTATAAACTAAGCTCCATGGAAGCGCTAAAGTGACATCTCTGGTAGAGCTGGTGACACAATTGTCATCAGCATCGAAGGAAACCATCTTCAACATACAAAAGTACACTTATACCTTCTTACCTTTTGGTTGCACACGGTATTACAATTTTGGTCAGAAGTTTGGAACGCAGTAGAGGAGATATGGCCGATAAATAATAATTATATTCTTGATTAAGATAGCTAGGACGTCTTCTACAAAAGTTGTAGAAAGGCAAAATGAGATTCCTGGGCGTAGCATTTAATTGAGCTCATCTGGGTTCCCGGTGCTGCCATGTAATGACCTCTGTCGCAGCTGCGACCAACACCGACCGGCCCAGGGAATCCTCCCACTCCCACCCCCACCCCCACCCCCACCTTGACAACGTAATGTGATGTTATACTGCATATTTGAAAATCGGCACATTTGCATCGGGAGAACTCTTACTAACACATTTGTGTACTGACAACGGTTGGTCAGTGTGGAAGGCGTAAGCTTAAATTGCGTTGGGGTCACCAAATTAAAAGAGAGTAGAGGCTTGATTGTGATCGGTAGTCGTGCCAAGTCTCTCTGTCCTCCCTTCCATCTCACCATATGAACGTCGAGATTTTAAAGCAACTATAAAATTTGCAGAAATCATGCTGATTCTTTGAAGCATTTGCTGATGAAGTTTATTTATAAAACTGCACATAAGCACTTCAACGGCCTAAAAAGCGAAATTATGTGTTGGAAAAGTTTTTTGTCTTAATATGTTTGTTTTGAAAACATAAACAAGGTCGCTTGATCGTAAAACGATCGTGCAGTGTTTCGGCCACATACCCTCCCCAAAAGACTTGCTCGTGTGCCAATGGATCGCCTCTGGCCGCACAATACGAACCCCTATTGTCAAGTCTGTGCGTCAATAACTATGTATGTCGTTTTCTTAACCTACTCCACTGAAGTGGTTTCTAAAGGGGTATTTGGTATTCGTTGAAAAGTACGCAACAGGATCAATAGCCGTGCGATCTAGCCATATCCGTCTGTCTGTCTGTCCGTCTGTATGAACGTCAAGATCTCGGAAACTATAAAAGCTAGAGATGTGGGACGTGACATGCAGCGTAAATTTATTTCAAATCGGAGCCGAGTACTATCACTGGGAGACAAGTTAAACCGTAGGTGTTGGATCATGTCGGTAGACAGTATTTTAGAAGTTATAGGGTTATTAAGTTCTCAGCCGTCGCTCTGCCGCTGCTCGGCCGCTACTCTGCCGGTAATCTCTGCAGTAGAGAGGCAGAACGAAAGAACTGCTGCATGCACTTAGCTTCTAGCGTTGGCTATGCAGTTCGACGAACGTGTCCCCCACTATTCCTGAATAACACGCACGCAGCTTCCACATGCCGACGATGTAACGTATCTCGGCGTCCACCTTGACAGGCAACTTACTTGTCGGAAACACATCAAAGCTAAGAAAACACATATAAAACTAAAAGCCAATAGCCTTTGCTGGATCCTTTGCCAAGCCAGTCTGCTTCCAACTGTGGGGGAACGGACATTATCCAGCGCGCTCAATCCAAAATCCTGAGAACTATTACTGGGGCTCCATGGCATATTCGGGAACGAGAACATTTACAGAGATCTGGGTATTCTACACATAAAAGATGAATACCCAAACAATAAGCGACCTTTCACACCAAGCTATCATTTCATCCAAACCATCTCGCCAGGGGTTTAATGGGGGTTGTCAACCGAACCCGCCAGACACGCAGTGATCTTCCAGCTCAGCAATTCTTATTATTAGAGCCCCACAAGCTTTTTCATTTAAAATTTAATACACCTATTTTAAATCTCCTTGAAGAGAAGATTCAACAAAAAAATGTATATATAAAGACAAACAAAAATAATTATAGTTTACAGCTAATGCAATACAATAAAAAACAAACCATAAAAGAGTACCGAAACCGTTCTGGTACCAACCATTTTAGGCCGGAATAAGGTAAGGGCTTCCGGCTCCGGTTTTATTCCCTGGTATCAATCACTTTAATTCTTTAAATCTTTACTGGTAATATCGGACATTTCGTTTAATGGAAATGTGGGGCTAAAGATAGATTTGGTCGTCCAAGGTATATGTTTTATATTAAATAGTTGTTTACACGCAATATACACAATTCTTCACAGTCTTCAGTATTACTTACATACATACGTACACATTTATAGCATAGAAGTACAATATATCGCTACTGGATGCCTAATGCTAAGTTTCTTTAGAGCTTGAATCTTCGATTTTGCACTAATATTTTATTGGGTAGAAATAAACATTTCGGTTAATAGAACTGTTAACTAAAACTCACGAGGAGACAGAAGTCAAACATTTTAAATAATGTTTTTGAGAAGACTTATGCATGAATTATATTCAGAAAGACAAAGAAAATTTACTAATTGAGTTTAAAAATCCCGAAAATGTGTGTTTAAATTTCTGTAGGCGTTATTGTTAAAATGAAATCTGCCAATCGAATATAACTTATATCAGTGTAACATATTTTTTATAAGATTGCCTTTTTATATTGGCATAGGTTAAAATGTTCTACTAAACAACGAAAAAGAATGAATATCGAAGTTAGAAAAACATTTTTGAACTTTTTAAACTTCGGCCTGTTAGGTATAAGTTTAAGATAAACCAAATTTACAAATTACTAGTTGGATATTGCTTTCGGTTGATAAGAATTCTACTTTATATTCGTTTATTGTTTATTGATTGCACCTTTCAAAACAGTTTTATTAGTGTTTATGCCTTGTTAATATTAATTTTTTAAATTGTAATTATACACAAAACCAAGTATAAATAATTTAAAGTAACATTTTTTTTCTATAAACTTAAAAATGTTTTACTTTAATTTAAATTCGCAGTATGCACAATAATGCATCTAGTATTAAAGACTTTAGTAGGCTTATAGAGCAATAGTAAAATTTAATTTACTTTATACTTTATAATGTATGTATTTATATACATTAATAATAATAGTTTTTATGCTTACATTCGATCTCGATGCTTGTTTTTTGAATAACAACAGCATTACCGCGTTAATGTTTAGCCTTACTTTGTAATCTTGTCAAATGTAGGAATTGTATTTAAGAAATAAATAAAACTATATATAATTAAAATTGTTATGTCAATTTATACGGAAGTGCTCCAGTTATCGCAAACTTTTTCAATCTTTATGACACTATGTCGTTTTATTGAATTTCATATCAAAAAAGAACTAAATCACAGCGTATCATGTCCTTGTTACATAAAGAATACTTTTTAGCATTGGCATAAATCAAAATATTTTACTAAAAACAAACAAATTTTGTGAAATACTTTTAAAAGCTTGAAAATGTTGATCTAATATGAACGTTTTAACCGCATCAAATGCACTCAAGTCAAACATCCAATGCTAAATTAAAGTTGATATATTTTGATTCGCTAAATTGAAACAAAAACACGTTATCAAATATTTCTCTTAATCGTTTAAAAATTATAATCACACGATTTGCAAACACCCGAGCATAAAATTTGACGATAGAATAAGCAATTGACACTTTTGCGATAACCGGAACTTAAGAGGATACATTTTATAAAAGTTTGCTTTTTTTTTGAGAAATTACTTTAAAATTGTCACTTTATTAATGAGAATTTCTTCCATTATTGTTATGTACGTATTTCTTATCAATTATTAGAGACTTGTTCAGATCAGGAATAACTTTTTTGTCAGCTTTAATAATTACATCTTTAAATAAAATTAACACATTTTATAATTAGACGCGAGACAGCTGTCAGACAATAACGGCGAAGGCGAACTACAGCGTGGGCCCAAATAACTGTCGCACTTTTTCAAAGCTTCGGCACTCTTAAACAAGTGCTTCTATTCTTTTTGTTTTTTCATTTCTTCTTTCTTTATCTTATTTCGTAACTAACGGGGTTTATTGCTGATAAGATCAGTGCAAGTTAGAATTTTGGCGACGATGGAAGCAAAACGGGAGCTAGTGCAAAACTTGCATTTGCAAGGAAAAAAACAAGTGAAATTGTGAAGTTGCTAAAAAATCTCAATGTGAATAGGCGATTTGTTCAGCGCACTGTGGCTCGATTGAAGGCAACTGGAAGTGTTGATATAGCCAAAAAAACTGGTCGGAAAAGAAGTGTTAGAACCCCTAAAATAATAAAGAATGTGCGTGAAAGAATTAGGCGAAATTGTGCGAGGTCAGCTCGAAAACTAGCCAATGAGCTGAATGTGAGCCGCAAAACAATTAGAAACATCATAAAAGATGACTTGGGACTGAAACCTTACAAAAAAAAAAGAATTCATGGTCTGACAGAACGTCAAAAAAAAATGCGACAGGAAAGAAGTGGGCAGTTACTTCGGCGGCACGCAGGTTGCAATACTGTGTTTTCTGATGAAAAGTTGTTCATATTGCAAAAAAGCCTGAACCCGCAGAATGATCGGGTGTATGCAGCAAGTATGGAGGATATTTCAACAGAAAAAATTGCTGTTGAGAGATTCCAAAACACAACGTCTGTCATGGTTTGGGGGGCCATATCTGAAAAAGGTAAGTTACCCCTTCTTTTTATCGATAAAGGCGTGAAAATCAATGCCAAATATTATTTGGATGAAGTGCTTGTGGGCCATTTTTATCCCCATGCATCAAAGCTGTTCGGGAATAAGCCATTTTGCTTCCAGCAAGACTCTGCTCCGGCTCATAAGGCCAAAACTGTTCAGCACTGGTGCAAAGATAACATTCCATGTTTCATGGCTGTTGATGAGTGGCCTCCATCGTCACCAGATCTAAATCCTTTAGACTTCTGCATATGGGGTTACATGCTGGATAGACTAAAGGATTTAAAAAAGATGAATTTGGAAAAGTTTAAGCGACACTTGACAAAAATTTGGAATGAAATTCCTGATGATGTGGTGCGTGCCGCTTGCAATAGTTTTAAGAAACGTTTGAAGCTCGCCCGAAAATACAAAGGGGAAAGATTAGAACTTAAGTCTTAGTAATGTAAGCTATATTAATATATATTAAATAAATAATATTTGTTACTTAAAATATCTCATGGTTTGTTTTTTATTTCAAAAATTAAGTGCGACAGTTATTTGGGCCCACCCTGTACATGTGTTGGGTCGTAAACTGTAAAATAAAGTGCTATGTGGGCCACAGATTTAGGCCTGGGTCCGTTTGAATATTGTTTTGAAACTTTATTATTTACGAGTAAGCTATGCATTATTTATGTGGGAGTAAAATAAAGTATGTTTAAAATAATTGATATTAAGTACAAAAAAATAATTCGATATCGAGTTTCCTGTAAGTTACGTATATAATTTAAGTAAACATTATCATATGTAGTAGTTTATAATTTAAGAAAGTAACGCTTAAATAAGTATTTTAGGCGGAGTCTTTGGTTATCTTATTGTATATATAAGATCTAAAAATTCCTTAAATTAGTATCGGCAAAGCCGGAGATTGATAAATATTGCTGAGATGCGGCGGGACGCGAAATCGTAAGAGTTCACGATTTACATTCACATCAAGTCGCTGTATTCGGATCGTTCCGATTCTGATTCTGATTTCGTTATCGGTTGCTGTGGATCATCTTGCTGTTTCCTTAATCAAAAACTGCCGTACCCACCTATGTCGGACGGCTTCAGGTGATCAAACACGCTCAAGTGATGCGAGGGATGACTATGGTGCGAATGGTGATGAGTATGTGGGTGAGTATAGCTTGGGTAATTCGCCTGCGGCGGGGTGTGACTATATGGATTGTGTCCAAACGGATAATTGGGGCTCGGCACATGCAAAGTCGCAGTGTTAGCTGCCACAGTCGACTGCGCGGCACTGCCGAGACCATAGTGGCCGTGTGCAGCTGCATACTCTCCAGTGTTATGCTGTGCATGTGATCCATATGCAGGTGGACCGTACATTGAGTTCACATTCACGGGGGGGATGTGTGCCACGTGGTGTGCTTGATCCATGTACATTGGATGCGGATGTGAGTGCGGAGGCGGCAGAGGATGGGGCAGCGAATGGGGATTCGGCTCCGCATTCCCCATAGTCACCCCAAGGGCGCTACCGATCAGATGAGAGGCGTGATGAGGATAACCGGACGGGCTGTGGCTGTGAATGGGATAGTCGATGCTGTTGCTACAGTTGTTGTTACTGTTGCCGCTTTCGCTGTTGCCTCGATTTTCGCCACTGTTTCCATACATAGCATCGTTGTCACTTCTTACAGTCGATGCGGAAGCAGCCAGACTGCTTACCGAAAAATTGTTGTTGCTCACATTGCTGTTCTCTCTTGTGGGTCTACATGCTTCCGTCTGCACCGGACTCTCTTGATTGCAACGTTTTGGTTGCTGTTGTTGTTGTTGCTGCTGTTGGTGTTGCTGTTGTTGTTGTTGTTGTAGGTGCTGCTGCTGCTGATGTTGCTGTTGGTGTTGCTGTTGTTGTTGCTGTTGTTGCTGCTGCTGTTGTTGCTGCTGATGTTGCTGTTGTTGCTGCTGATGTTGCTGTTGTTGCTGTTGCTGGTGCTGCAAACCCAACAAGCGACTCTCAACAGCAGCCGCAGCAGCCGCCGCTGTCGCCGAAGATAGGTTGCTGCACTCGTGCTCCCTGATTGCTGGTATTTGATCCACCAGCGACTCGAGGCCACACAAGCTTTTGCGAGCCACATCCGACCCGATGAGGCCTGTTTGAGAGGGATTCTGATGGACTTGATTTCCCAAGCGCGGACCCAGATGCTGATGGTGGTGTGCGGAAATCAGCATGTAGGGATTCGAATTCGGCTCCTCGTAGCGCTGCCAGTTCTCCGCCTGCTCCTGATGGAAATGCTGCATGGGGTGATGCAGGTGCTGTTGTGTCAGACTTTGCGCTGGCTGATGGCTTTGATGGGGATGCGGTGACAGCCACTGTTGGTAGTGTTCGTGAGGATGAGCGGGGTTCACCTCGGCCTCGTGCGCCGGACTATCGTACTGGTCCTTATCCGTTAATTGCGGTTGCGGTTGCTGTTGCTGTTGGCCCAATTCGGGCGCTTTAGTGTGCTCCCCTGGACGCACCTGGGAACTGGAGTGCTCGTCTGGTGGCTCAAAATCGACGGCGGTGCACATGTTTGGCGAACTCGGAGGAGGTGTTTCACCCAAGTGAGGCTGATCCCGCATGTCTAGCCCGACCTCCAGGTTCCCATGCTGGCTCTTTTTCTGTGGCGACAAGTGCTCGATCTGCGGATCGATGCTGGGTGACGTGCCCTGAGCAACGGCCGAATTCGGCTGCCCAACCGGCGGAGTTCCGTGGCCATGCACTTGGGTGTAGTTGCAGTTGAGGGCGGGGGACGCCATCGGAGATGCCGATGCCGTGTACAAAAGGTGCGACGGTGGCGGGGTGTTGTACAAACTAGGCGGCATTTGATGGTTGCTCTGGGGGGACGCTGCTATGTGCTCCATGGAGAGTGGGTGCATGGAGCTCACTGACAACCCTGCTCCAGTGCCTGGATTGGAGTTTCCGTGTTGAAGCGGTTTGACTGTCATCATGTTGTCAATAGCGGGTTTCAGTTTCTTAGGCCGACCCCTCTTCTTTTTCGGAGTCTCAATGCTGCTGCCGCCAGAGATTACCGACAGGTTGAGAATATTGTTGAAGTCGTGATGGGGCATGTGCTGTCCGCCCATGGTGAGTTTGCCGCCTGCGGTATGGTCAATCATATCTTGACCCTTTATCTTCTTTGGACGGCCTCGTTTTTTCTTCTCTAGTGGCTGCTGTGGCAGAGACTGCTGCGCACCAAACACAGACAAGTAGGTGCTTTCATTCGGGGTGGGATTCTGATTGGACACTGATAGCATGGGTCTATCGTCACCCGCATAGGGAAAGGATCCCCGATCAGTGCAGTTGCCAGATGGTGGCACACTGGCATTCATGTGGGGCATCAATTTGTCAGATTGAACTTGATCCGAATCCTCGGCGACAGAAACAACATTTCCACACTCCGCAGCCCCTGCGCTTGGACCACAGTTACCAACGAAGGCTAGACCCGCGTGGTGATCGCCCATGGAAGATTGGTGTGTTTGCTTAATATTGCCGCTGGCTTCCGCCTGTTGTTGCTCGCTACACTGGCGGATGCGCTGGTCAGTAAAGACGCACTCCGACTCATCAATGTGCGGTATCTGCCCGTTTAGGAAGTCGCGAAACTTTTTCAGGGCCGCATAAAACGGAACTTTGTCGGCAGCTCGGGGCAGTTGCGCACAACGTGCTGATGATGAGGGCATCACCCAAATATACTGCAATACAAGAAATGGTTTACTTAATGGAGCTGCACAAAGAAATTTTCAGGGCATTATTATATATGTGGGAGGCGGTACATGCAATAATTTAATAACTTTTAACTCACTTAACAGCATTTTTTTTTTTTTGTTTTGTTTTTTTTAATATTTCTTAAATCATCTAAATTTCGATTGAAAAGCGTATATGTTAAATAATTCTAAATCTACTATATCCCAAAGAACAAAAACAAATTAAAAAAAAGATAAAGTTCTAATTTTTTCCTCTCTTCTCAATTATTCTTATCCAGCTGCAATAAAAAGACAACTTTTGAAAAAGTTGCAGCCAGATAAGAGACTAGCTTGCGTTAAAACGGACAGACGGACATGGCGAGATACACTCTCGTAGTGATCAAGAACATATATACTATATAGTGTCGGAAATGTCTTCTTTACTGTGTGGCAAACATCTCACAAAGATATACAAGGATATATACAAACAATTATCATTTTTAAACTAGAACGTATAACAAGGTTCCTTCTAGGAGTGTTTTCGAACTAGAACTTACGGTGTCGGTGCCATCGACGCGATCAGGTTGCCGACCGAAATGAAATTCCTTTTTTCCTGAAAACACCTCGAATATTAGTTTTCCATTGAAAACGGCTACTTTTGGGCGAAACCTCTGTAGCTTTTCCAGTAAGATTCGACTGCCCTCCTTTATTTCCTTTCTGGTTAGGTCGGCTGATCCTTTTGTGGCTCGCGCCACCATGTTTGTAAATCCGATTCCCTGCTTTAGCAGTTTGTGGTCTTCGTCGGCACTCATCTGCTCCTGTGTAAGTCCCGCCAAGTAAAGACACTTCCAGAAGTGATTACCTGGCCCTGCATAGTGGTGACCCTTGTATGCGGCAAACAAGCCAGGATTTATTCCGACCTGCAAGGCGTTGGAAGGAAAAGTCAATCGTTATTACTATTATTGGTCTCTGCCTATATTGTAAACATTTTTTCGTATGGACATCCGAAATTTACAACTCACTATAACGATATCAAGGTTATCACACAGATGATCTGGAATTGTCCGTTTAATTACTTCCTCCTCGGACATTCCATTGAATCGGTCATGCTTTTTGCGTTCCTTGGGTTTCATGGCTTGCAATAGATCACCAGAACCATCTTCGCAGACTGAAGTTCCGCCAGATGTGCTAGAAAGTAATAATAACACATATGTTCCATTAAACTAATTAAAGTCTTTTGTGAAAGTCCTAAAAGGTTCGTAAGTTGCGCTAACAGCAAGTCAATGAAACAGGGCCGCAAAAAATGTACTTTTGGTTTCATAAAGAATTAATTATAATTAACAAATCAGCTTATTAAGCATATTTTTATTATTTGTTTTTGTGTTTCAATTGGACTAGGTTGAATTTTGTGCATAACTTAAAGATATAATATCTATTTCAGCGAAGAACGTTTTACTTACTCCTGTTGAGTCGTTGGTGTTGATAATTGCGTGGTTTCAGTACTGTCGGCAACCAACTTTTTTTTGCGCCCTCTTTTCTTTGGCGTCGGCTTGGGATGCAAGCCGCATTGAGCGTTATCAGTTTGCTCCAAGATAATTGTACTGTGCTGGGGGTGTTGGTACATTCCTCCGGGTATGCACTCTGGAGTGCCATTTGACGATGGAACTGAAGCGTAGCCAGTCGTTCCAGTACTCACAGTGTCCATGTGGCGATGGGCTGCCGAGTGCATGCGCATTTCCTCACCCATGAAACTGTAGGGATCGACAACAGAGGCATGACTGGGGCACCGCGAGCCCCCGCTCAACTCGATTTGGGTCTGGGGGGCAGAGACCTGCACTTGATTGCCGTTGGATGACGGTACGCTGGGGTCAGTGTGGGCTTCACCAGTTAGAGGATTCTTTGCCAATAGCAACTCATCAGGCTTCTTCTGGTTCTGCGACATAAGCACGATGTTAGGATGTTGCATTTGATGTTGAGGCGTAACCGAGTGGGCGGACGAACTATGAGAGTTCGGGGTTAAAACGTCGCCGGCACTAGTCTCATACCCATCATCTTGATTTTCAGGTTTTGCAGTGCTAGGGGAGAGCGTTCTGAAAAAAAGAATTTAAAAAATATTGTTTTATCAGCTTAGTAGCCAAACTTTATATCTTTTATTTTTGAGCAACGAATGCATCATTCGTTTCAAAAATGATTTCAACTGAAACCAGTTATCGCCCAATCCTAAAAGAGAAATAAATCCCAAAAAAAAATATAATTTTTTGACACTGATCATTCAACAGCAAATGTTTGTCGATTTGGACATAACAACATTTTTCTTAAGACGGCAATAGCGTAAAATTACTTCCTGGAATCGTATCAAACAGCTATATCTTAATGTATGTATGTAAGATTGTGAAGTAACAGAAGGGGAATATCAGAAGCAGAATAAGCAGTATATCAACAGAGATGCAGCAGGTTAAGCAGTATACCAGCAGAGAAGCAGCAGGATAAGCAGTACATCAGCCGAAAAGCAGAAAGCAGTAGAGCAGTAAAGCAGCAGCAGAAATGTATAGAACGCGTTATGGATTATTTTGATGATGGAAGAATAGGCAGTTCCAGAAGGAGGAATTCAGCAGAAGCAGTTAGAAAAAGTGAAGCCGTAAAAAAAAACACAGCAAGTATGTAAGTTACCCATATTGATGGCTGCCCAATCATTTCCTTTAAAGAAGACAAATGCAGCTCAATAGGAGCGTTGGTACCTGTTATTTCACTGGCTACACAACACATCAAAGCAGTGGTGCTTCTAAGCATATTGAAGAGCTGCTGTGCAATAAGAGAAGGCTTCGGCGAGAGTGACAAGTCCATAGATCACCTGAATCGAACTACCTACTACTCAAAGCCCTAGAGGACGAGAGAAATCGAGCTCAGGTAGCCGTATACTTTTTGGAGATAATCTCCAGTGGAAAGCTAAGACAAGCCAGTGTCCACCAGTCGATAGTGAATCACCCTTAAATACGTAAGCAAAAGATTGGACTTGCAGCAACGAAGAGAGCGAAAATACGTTTGTCATCAATCTAGAAAAGAATAGTTTTGTGTTCCCAATAATCCACAATCCTGAAACTTCTCCTCCTATGAAGTTATTGTCAGAAGAAGTTACAAGAGTCCCTCTAGTGATCATAGAATTGCCGAGCTGTGCAGTATATTTTCTCACCACAATACTTAACAGCATGATGAAATGGGGTTATTATCATCAACAATGGAGGAAGTCTATCATCACAACAATCCCGAAAGGCGGTAAGGACAAGCCCCAGCCAACATCATATAGGCCAATTAGCAACATGTCGTGTCTATCAAAGATATTTAAAAAAATTTGCGTCATGTCTACAGCAAAGAAGTTTTCCAGTACGATGGTAGCGTGATTGGACCGTGTACCAACTAACACAGCAAATCTACCGACAACTTGCAACAACATCAACATTTGCTGATGATACTGCCACTTTTAGTCCTGAAAGAGCAACGCAAAACTCGTCAGATCATCTCGTGCTTTTGAACAAATGGCTAGCAGTTTGGCGCATACATGTAAACGATCAAAAGTGCAAACACGTCACCTTTACCCGAAACAGACAAACTTGCACTTCACTATCTCTGAACAAAATCAATATTCCACAAACAACTGAAGTAACAAATCGTGTAGTCCATCTGGATAGACGACTTACTTGTGGTAAACACATCGATTTAAAACTTCGGCTGGCCGAAGTATTTGAGTTTAATAACTACAAAAATGACTACTTACAATTTGAATGCGGCGCTGGGTTCTTCGTGAAAATCATCCATAATAAGATCATGGTACGTTTCGCGCAATGGCTGTTGTTGCTGTGTCGATTGATGTTGGTTTTGGTGAATTTGCTGCTGTTCATGCTGCAAATGGTGTTGGTGTTGCTGTGAAATAAGGACCGGTTGGTGTAAATGTCCATGGCACTCCATGGCACTTTGATGCTGTTGGTGCTGACGTTGGTGGTGATCACTTTGATGTGTGCCAAACAAGGGAGAATTCTGATAGTGAGAGATATAGCTGGAGTAACTTGCATGCTGCTGATGTCGAGGACTGTGTTCGTGCATGCTTTGCTGATGATGGCTTTGTGGAAGATGCTGCTGCTGAATCATCTGTGTGTAAAAATTATTATGCAACTGACTATCCATGGCAGACGGCGTTTCTGTCTGGCCATATTGCTCCTGCGTCGCATTGTCGTGGTGGTGCTGCAATGGCATTGGAATCGCTTGTAAAAATACACCCGCTCCAGAGCTTTCCTTCTCGATTTGAAGCAAAAGTTCCGAGTGACGATGCTGATGCTGGTGCTGATGCTGATGCTGGTATGACAGTTCCGGGGTAGCATTCACAGATTCTTGTTTACTCTCACTGGACGCTGACTCTATGTGCTGCTGGGACTGAGACTGGGACTGAGACTGGGACTGGGACTGGGACTGCCCAGACTGCCCAGACTGGTCATGGTGAGGCGTCCATAAGGAAGTCCTTCTATCATCCAGCAAAATATCACCCGTTTCTGTCGTTACTGCTAACTTAGTAGGAATTCTTATGTTCAAATTGGAAGAGTCATTTACACAACCATCGATTTTATTGTTTGCTAATATACTTGTGGAACTACTAGAGTTGTACAGACCAGCCGTACTGTACTGCAGTTTGGCATCAACGGTCGATGACGATGCCGCCGACGATTCTCCCAGGGCGCCTTGCCTTGGCTCCTCGGACTGCCTGTCCGGTATGCTTGACGAAGAGGTCTGAGGAGCTGGAACTACTAGCTCCACGCTAGTGACCAATGCCTGCTCTGGGGGCACGTAACAGTCGTTATCGAATGGCACCATTTTCTCTGGGCTTTTCTTCTCTGAACTATCCACGGATAATGACCCCTCACCGACGACATTGCAGTTGCTTGGCAGGTGCTTTTCCATTTCATTTGGCTTGTTCTCTGACTTTCTTGCGTTTGGGTCCAAATCAGGGTCATTGATTGGATTGCACACATCATCTCCCTGGCTGCTGTTTAGTTCAAGATTGGACAGCTTCAGGCGTTTGCGACTATTAGACAGGCCAGAGACGTACTTGTCTGGTTCGTCATTGTGGCTTTTTTCTGAATTGGTAAGGTATGGAGTTGATGGCGTCAATGTCGGCACTGTTCCATCTGTCGGGGCCAAGCTTTCATTCACATTTGATGCCATTACAGTGCTAACGGGTTTCGCTGCCCTCTGCACTATGGCTTGATCGGTCAGTGAAAATTTGAAAGCCTGCAAAACGCTGATTAAATCCTGTAAGGCAGCAAAAGATCTTGCTGCTTGTATTGGAACTATTCCTAAGATTAATGAAGCTACTGTAGGCGCGTAAGTGAAGGAACTACTTATCAGTGGGATGTTTTTCCTTTCCACTTGCATCTCCTATTTATAAATCGTCCATTTAGGAGAAAATCTACGGTTGCAATCGATCATTTCCAATAGCATCAAAAACAATCCTTCGTATACTATTTCTAGATTCTTTGCTCCAATCAAATTACTTTCGTCGAGTGTGTTAAGTGCCAGATGCGCTAAAAGCATGCCTGAAAATAAAATGTAAAACACAAATAAGTAAATCAAATATAGTAATAGAGTAATAGGGTATGTTGTATTCGTTGAAAGGTATGTAACAGGTAGAAGAAAGGGTTCCGACTTTTTAAAGAATATATGTAAATATATAGGGTCAGAAATTCTTTTCAATCTCACCAAAATAATAATAACACCCCCTGCAACGGTGGACGTTCGAAAACAACGAAAAAAAAACTAGAGTGACCATATAAAGTAAATGTATTCTTGGTCAGGATCAATAGCCGAGTCAATCTAGCCGTTTCTGCCGGTCCGTCTGTCTGTCAGTTCGTGCGTTTGAGCGTCGAGATCTCGGTAACTATAAGTGTAGGTTTATTTCAAAAATCGGCCACGCCTACTTTAACGCTGGCAAATCACAAAACTCGGTCATGTTTTTTGAGACATGGTGGCAGTTTAATATTCGGCGTATTTGTTAATTCAATCAATAACATTGCAAATCGAACCATTGTTTTCTAAAATGTTAGAAAACTAATTAGAGCATATTTGAAAAAAAAAACAAAGTTTTTATATTTGAAAGAACAAAAGGACTGTAAGCGTGGGCGAGGGTGCTGCCCACTCTTAGCTTGTTGTGTTGACCCTGCGATGCGGCAGTTATCAAGTAGCCAAACACAATATACAGCGAATACAGCGTCCCTTCTGGTTTCAGTTGTTTTTGAATGCAATGGCTAAAAAACCTCGAGGTTTTTGGGACCCACCTGATTATGCACACTTGACTTTGAACTGTGGCTGTAAATAACCCCATTAAGGACTTTTAAATCTATTTCGAGGAGACACTACTTTTCTTGATAATAATACGCATGTGTGTGTATAAGGTTCCTTGCGGGACTAGTAAATACCTTTGATTGAAATATGCATACACATAATATCTAGCAAAACCCCAAAATGCAACGGACCGAAAAATGGCAGTGCAAGCTCTGAATGTGTGCACGTACTTGCATTTATGTGTATGGGTCCACATGTACATATGTATGTGTTTACATATGCATGTGTCCAAACTACTGTACCAGAAAGTTTAGCAAAATCAAAAACAACAGCCAAATGAGTACGCACTCTCGAAAAAGCTCCAATTGCGAGATTGTGTGAGTTTAAGAGATGGTGTGCGTGAGACGAAATATACAGTTACTAGCAGTATACAACGCGCCTTAACCCGCGTGCCAATATGTACATATACAATATCGAACACACTGTAGTCGTGTGAAAACAATATTGACTTTTAGATATTATATTAATCATAAAAAGAGAACTAAGAAAAATGAAATTGTTTTACTGTATCATATGGATTCACTGTACACCACACGAAGTTCAAAAAATAATATGATATCTATATGAATAACAAAATTTTACGTTTTTTGTTTTTCAATAAACTGATCTAAGTCAACTTATTTTGATCAAACTAAAGGAATAGGATCAAATTTTATACACACGATATCTGGGGTTTTAATTTCAAACGAATTTGGTACAAAGCAATTTTCACTTTAATGAGTAAAACAAGAAAAATATATATATTCGAGACTTTTAATTAAAAAAAAACTCCGAAGTAACCATTAGTTTAGATTTTTTTTTATAGAAATCTGTAACAACCTATTTTTAACATTTTTAACAGAAGCTCATTTTGAAAATTGTTGTGTCTACCGATAGATATGACCAAAACACACAGAGTCTAGTAGCTAAAATCGAACATGCCTCAGATTGACGTTCAGCGTTTCGCGATTTGTAGGCGTTATAGTGGGCGTGGCTCCGTTTCGAAATAAAAGTACGCTGCGTAAGAAATACTAGTATCTGCATTTTTTCTCGAAACGACATTTTTGAAAACTGCTGATATCAAAGATCGACTGTAAAAAGACCGATCGGTTTGAAAATAACACCCTGATCATCAGGTATCGCCAATCATTGGTGGACTTTTTAAATGTACCTCATAGCATTGCTACAACGACATGTGAATGGCACGAACAGCTGATCTGGGTTTGCTTACTTTTGAATTCTCACAAATCTTAACAAAACCAGGAAGGAAGAAAACTTTGGCAAGCCGAAGCTTTTATACCCTTGCAGTGCAATTGCAAAAATTAAATATTCTTGAAAAAACTAAAATTTGGATATGCTTTAAACATTGATGATTTTCATCTCAATTATTCGATCGTTTCTTTGGCAGCCATATGATATCGTATTCCGATTTAAATTAAATTAAAATTGTATATCCGAACTATCAAATTATTACTATATTCAAAAATAGAAGTTTCCTTTTTTTTAAATATTCCTATTGTTCCCATGGGAACAAACCGTAAACCGCAATTCTGAAATATTTAAAATTTATTTAACTAAATCTCGAAGAAATAAATAACCCGATAGTAAGCAAACTTCGGCATGCCGAACTTTATATATCCTTGCAGTTATTGTTAAAATGAATTAATCTTTAAAACATCTTAATTTCGATTTCTATGCGTATATGTTAAAAACATTGAAGGTATAATGAGTTCCAGCTAAATAATAATAAAATTAAAAGCCCAGACTGTGGCCAAGCCCGATTGACGGGCAGGAAGCCGTTGCTGTGTGTCTGGTGGGATTGGTAGGGAATCATCCACAATGAACTGATCCCCTATGGCCAAACGCTCTATTCGAACCTGTACTCCCAATAACTGGACCGCTGAAGGTAGCACTCAGAATCCGAAGAGGTGACGCGCCAGAACCTCCAGGAGCTCGGATCAGAAATTATTTTGCATCCACCGTATTGTCCGTATTTCGCACCAAGTGATTACCACCTGTTTTTGTACATGGTGAACGAGCTTGGTATTCGGAAGTTGACAGACAGCTTATATTCTCATTATTTCTCAATATTTTTGTAAAACAAAAAATCTTAAAATTAAGTGGAAAACTTACATCATTATAAGCAAAATATTACAACACATATTAAGTACTTTCATTAAAAAAAATCCAAAAATTTTCTTTTTTCGTAGGTAACTCCTTAAGGGGGAATATTAAGCTTAAAATTTTGTTAGCTTAGTAACGGGTAGTCGGGTAACTAGACTGTAGCGTTCTTTCTTATGTGGCATAAAGTCCAAAGTTATTTTGTTATATTGCCTTAATTTTCTTTTAAATTCCGTTATAGAAATATTTGTTAAGCCCTGGTTTTTTGGGCGCCATTTATAGTCAGCTGATTATGCTAGATTATGTGTGCCAAACAGTTTCATTGACACGTGGCTAAAGTTTTTTTTGCGTCCGTACAGCTATTCTTTGTTTTGATCTGTCAAGGAAAAGCAAAAGTTGCTGAAACTGATCAAATCAAAGAAAATAAACAGGGAATTAGACGATATCGACTTGAGTGCAGCTAGTACCCATTCAATGAAACTACAATTTTAATGAAAATCCGTATCCTCTCGCCTTCGTTTGCCAGCTGTCTTTTGTTGTTCCTTTTGTTAGTGATGCTCGTTTCTTATCCTATGTATATCGATACGCCAAATATTGAGTAAATATCTAGTAAACACCGTGTAAACATCGGTAAACATCAATATATCGTAGAATGAAGCAATTTGAACACTCTTTCTACGTTCTGCCTATACAAAACTTACGTAAAAAAAAATTCCATACTTGAAAAGCAATATCGATAACGATAATGAAGCGAAATTTGCACGAACAAAATATCGTTAAGAATCGGTATTTTCCGGTTCTTTTTCAAAAACGTTCGGGGCGAACGATTTTTTATTTATTTTAAATGTGATACTAAGCCTTATGGAATTCCCTGTGTAACAAAGTAGCATACTTTCAAATAGAAAAAATTTTAATTTTTAAAATTTAATTTGCAATAAGAATTTAAAAATTTTTGAAATTGTTTTATTTTCAAAACTGGAGGTGGGCAAAAAAAATTATTGTTGGGCAAAAAATGGACAAACGATACCGCTTTTCGAAATTCAAAAATTCGATTTTCGACAGTTTTGTTTTCCAAATTACTCGTCACGTTTCGCTGATTTTCGCATTTAAATCGAAATTGAATTGAATTGAACAATCGTGAAAATAAATAATAAAACTTTGCTGTTTTTCAGTTTATTTGTTAGTTTTTAGATATATAGTAATGGTTCATTATTTTAGAATAACGGATTAAATTTGATAAAAATCGGGCGACATATCATATAGCTCCCATGGGAACTATATGAATTTTACAAAATAAAGAAAAAAAATGATAATTCTCTTTTTGTTTTTTAATTCTTTTGGACATTGTTATGGTTTAATAATTCAGAATAACGAATTGGAAAACGATATCATATAGATTCCATAGAAACCATCGAATATTTGAGCTGAAAATCATCATTGCATCAATGTTATTAAACATGTACGCAAATAATTCAAAATTTAGATGCTTTAAAAAATATTTAGTTTTGTAGTATGTGCAATGGTATTAAAAAATCGGCTTGCCAAAGTTACTTGTTCCTTTCATAGGGTGGCAAAAGTGGAGTTAGGTGGTTATTGACCGATTTTACTGGTTTTTTTTTAAGGGGTAATCGAATTCTTTGGACATTTTGCCTATCGGTGGTACAGTTTTGCGGTGACCACACTGTGTACTAAACCATGATCATAACAAGTCTGTTCAATTTGGAAAAATCGGTTCAGATTTTTTAGAAAGATTCCACTTCAGAGGAAATGCACATATTTATAACTTTTCCTTAAAAATAAAAAAAAAAACTTTAAAAAAAAAATTAAAAACAAATTTAAATTTGCCAGTGGTGCAAGCCTCCTCATTTCGTTTCTATCGAGGGTGATACAGAAATCTTTCCGGTTGAAATATTCATGTACACACATAATACGTACGTTTCAATCGGAAATATTTCTCAGCCCCAAATAAATCTTGGAAATATTAATTTACCGGTTATTAAAAATTTAGTTTCTGAAGGAGGGCCATGTGAGTAATGCTCGCTTTCTTGTTGTTGTCCGGACAAAAAAATAAAAAGAGGCAGTCCAACAACAGCTGACGCTCTGCTATTCAGTAACTTATATAACTTTCGGTAAATTACTGGACGTTTTTAATGTTTTACTTATCGTTCGCTTTGACTTGCATATATACGCCGATAGACTAAACAACACAAGTTTACATACCTCTTCGTCCCCACCGAACTTATGTATTTTAATATCTTAAGGATCTGTAAGTTGTTTGACAAATTTTCTATTACTCAAAAAATGCATACTTTTTTATACATGTGTATGTGCGTATATATGTATGTATGTGCATGAGATGAATACAAAAACATAGGGTACGTGCATGTGCACACATAAATGTACATATCAATTTATTTTTACTTATAATATTCTTTATATGCTATGCTGTGCCCACCTATTCGGACTCGGATTCACGGATACGAAATACAAACATACGGACCAGATACCAAAATAAAAGATAAAAGACTAGTCGCCGTTCGACTCGTTTTTTTGTTCACATGTATATGCGTACATATATGTATCTGTTTTACATATGTATTCCTGGCTGTGGTTTCGCTACAGATGATGCTGTTTCTGCTTCTGTTTTCGCTATCCACAGTGGATGTGGCTAATGAGAGGAGCGGGAACGGGAGAGGGGGTGGAGGAATGAGGAGAGAACGACGACACGACCAACAAAAATAAGTTTGTTTGCGTGTATATATTTATGTAGAGAATACTTGTGCAAGTACATGGGCATGTACTCACGTTTCGTTCGACGGTTTGAGCACAGGATAAGAACAAGGGAATTCGCACACATACGTAACAGTTACATTTTCATAAATATCTTGTTTGAAGCACTGCTCCTTAACCTGGCTTCGCATTATATTGCACATTTTGCATAATTTCAATTTCGTATGTATATGCAGACATATGTATGTGCATACATTGTCGTGTATGCATACATACACACGCACATCGGCTTAGCGGGGCAGAGTGGGCACACACGTTTCACTCTGCAGTTAAATGGAATATTGAATCGCACTGGATCTCAGATGTAACGAGGGAATCAAAACAGAACTCTGGATGAGATTTATGATCATTTTCAACTTTCTGTTCATACAATACAAGTACACGACACGAAACGAAAAGCAACCGACACCATAAAGTTTTCTCGATCTGACTTTCTGTTAGTTCGACGTTTTCCTAACATTTCTCTGTTAGTTCGACGTTTTCCTAACATTGTCTGTTAGGAACGACTAGGAAAAAAAAGCTTTGCTGACTTATGTGCAGTTATCTGAGCTTTCTGCGACCGATTACGTTTACGCTTACGTTTTGTTCTTACGTTGCCCCCAAAACGGGATTTTGAGAAACACCCTAGCGCGTTTAGGTCAGTTAGGTCAGCTGCACTCAAATCAACATTTCATTCTTTTTAAAATAGTTTAAGTATAAACTATTTAACTTCTTAACCCGTAACAAAACAGCACTCCAGCAGCATGGGTAGGTTGTCGTTGCGGTAATGCACAATTTCTTACCCGCCTTCCTATTTGGCGTTCCTAAAATGCGTTAAGATATTTCAAAATAACCTGTTCGGGATTCACTCCCGTTCTCACGAATTACAGTATCGTATCCGACGGATAAATAAAATGAGCGAAAGTCGATGTCAGTAGGCGCAGTTGTGTGTGTCGCAGTTGTACGTATTTTATTCTAACTTATTTCTACTTGGATTAAAAAAGTGAAAATAGTCCAAACAGCAATTGGGATGTCGATGTGTCAGCTTAGCACAAAATAGGGCTCTCCCAGTTGAAGTTACCTGAAATTTTCGCCCTGTGAAGTGTCATATTTGTTGAGCTTGGCCAATATGTACACATGGAAAGCTTCATTGAAAGAATAAGACACTATCGTATTTACAGAGAAATGCATTAACTAATTATATAAACTTATTGATTTTGAATAAACAGCATTTACCAACTCAAAATACCGGGAAAAACTATCTGATGTTTAAGAATTTACGCAGGGCAGATAGATATGTATCCGAAAGACCCAGCATGCTGTGTTTTGAATGTTCATAAATACACACATTCGTATGTGTGTGCAAAATAACACTTACTAGTGTTTATGTAAAAACCTTGAACCTTTTTTGTGCTTGCAGCGAATCAATTTAACGAAAGGGGCAAGTGAACAGCTGATTATTGCAGACATATGTACACACACACACTGTGTAAACAAACAATTTCATTTACTAAGAAGTTAAAGTTAAGTTAAATGAATTTCACGTTCCAGTAGTTATATATTTGAATGATGCTGACATAAAATCCTTTACTTTGTGTTCTGTGGCAAAGGCATACCTTATATAGTCAGATATGCGTGTACATATGGAAAAATACATACATATATCTAAAAATTTAAGAGAACTTTGGCAAGCCTTCACGCAGTTTTTTTACCTTGCAGCTAAAACAAATTTTTAAATTCAATGATTTTCCGATAAATTATAATAGTTTGATTTCGAATATATACTTGACAGTCAAGTATTTCTGAAATTTTTTAAATTTCATATCTTAGAGTATATGCATTCAAACATAATGAAGCTATAGTTTTTATTTTATTATTTTACCGACTTTTCCCATGGCAGTTATATGATAATAGTCGCCCCTTAACCTTATTACCTGAAATAGAAAAAAGACTTTTGGTAGTTTTATAAAGTTAGCATTAAAGCTTATAGACTATATTTCTCCTATATATGCTGATTGATTTGTATAGGGTTGGAAACATCTCCTTTACTACGTTGCAAACTTTTGATTGAAATTATAAATTTGTATACTAATAATAATAAGATCGGTCGTTCTCAAAGCCTAAGACTCAGATCGAAAGACACATTTGTTTTAAGTTTATCCAAACTGGGTGTGCTATTGTCTTACTGTCAGTCAGCCGTGTTTGTTGACAAACAGAAAACTTCTATTATAACACAGTATATCTATATGTAAGGAAACACAATAAACAATTATGTTACATTTTTGAACTGCAATCCTTAGTATTGTTTTGAGCTTTTTTAACAAAATCGCAACGCTAGTCCATTTTCTAGCATTTCTGTTGTCGATCTGAGTAAAAGTAAAGTGTCCACCAGTTATTTGCCTTGCGCTCTGCCTGTAAGCTGTCGAACGGATCCTGTCGATCTGATTACAAGTTTAAAGCCTAGTACTCAGATCGAGGAAATCCGTAAGTCAACTAGGAGAGAGAGCGAGAGGCAAATAAACGGCGTACACTTTTCGTCAGTGAATTTTTTTCACCCCGATACTCAGATCGACGAACAAATTGCCAGAAAGTTGCAAAGCGTTGCCAGACTTCTCTAAGCGAACTGACGCCAGGCCCCGGCGTAAAGAATAAACAATTTAATCTTTGGAGGTTAGAGTTGGCAGATCATAGTATTTATCAGATCAATACAATGTTGACAAAATATTCCCAATCCATTTATATGAATTTGCAAAACTTCGGTCACTCTGGAAGAAATAGTTTTTCCGCAGCTTTAAGAAATGGCGATCAATCGGGGTAAATGTAGTTGGTACCAAAACTGCGTTAAAAGCGAAAATTTAATAGCAAAAAAAAAACAGCTAATATAAGAAATCAAGTTATAACTGTTGCATGTTCTCTTTCACGCAGGGTAATGTTGTTCGCAGGATAAACATGAATGGTAACATGATTAATTAGAAGTCGACACATTGAGACGCAAGAGTAGAGGCACTCACACTCAACGTGCACAGAGGGAAAGGAGAGGACGTGACTATTAAACAAGCTACGAAACTGTATATATAGGTCGTTTCGTAATGTCTGATTTGGGAAGCGGAGATGAAGGTATCTCAGGATCAAGTAAGTAAATCACAAGTTTATTAAGACTGCAATACTAAGACTGCAATATTTCAGAATATAATGTCGCAAACATGGAGGGTTCCTCCAGCAGGAACGAGTTCGAATCTTCTGTAAAAGGTATAAAGGTGCCTGGCTAACATCTTTTACCTCTGACCTTTGTTCCTTTCTGTTTGATTAAGGCGGAAGCGGTGTGGAACAGGAATTGGCCACCAAAATGCTTCAAATACAATCCAAACGATTTTATCTGGACGTGAAACAAAACCGAAGGGGTCGTTTTATAAAAGTTGCAGAGGTAAACTATAACTCTAGGAACTGTACCGCTTTCTCGACTCTCGACTCTAGCATTTGCTTTATTTTAAATTCAAGACAAGAAAGAGGGTTATCTTTGAAAATCCAAAGTCCATCAGGCGTGTCCCCTAAATCTATATCAACCGAAAACATAAAATACGAATATAACTGTATAATTGCAAAATACGTTCTTCAATTTTTTTTATTTAAAGCACCGATTCGAATCTCTTTTAAATTTGTTCTACAGCTTCACACCTTAACTATTTTTGATACCCTTGGAGAGGGTATCATAATTTCAGTCAGAAGTTTGCAACGCAGTGAAGGAGATATCTCGGACATATATATACATATATATTCTTGATCAGCATCACTAGGAGAGTCAATCTAGCCATGTCCGCCTGTCCGTCCGTTTCTACGCAAACTAGTCTCTCAGTTTTAAAGTTATCTGCATAAAACTTTCCCAAAAGTTGTCTTCCTATTGCAGGTAGTACATATATATGTAAGTCGTAACGAGCCGGATCGGACGACTATTGCATATAGCTCCCATTGGAACAATCAAAAAAAATAAAAAAAATAAACAAAATCATAGCCTTGCAGTTTTTTAACTTTTTTGAATACTCCAAAATAGAAATGGTTAGGTATTTCAGATATATTTCTTTTTTTTATTCTTTTGGAAATAGTACTAATTTGATAGTTCAGATTTACGATTTTAATTTAAATCAATCGGCATCGATATCATATAGATGCTATAGGAACGATCGAATAATTGAGCTGAAAATCATCATATGTATCATCAACCATATACGCGTACAAATCGAAAATTAAGTGTTTTCATGAATAGGTAATTTTGCAATAGCTGCAAGGGTTTACAAGTATAAACTTCGGCTTTCCGAAGTTTGCTTCCTTTCTTGTTTTTTAATATATTGAGTATTTCCCCAACTATCTCTAAATTTATTTAAATTAAATTTCACTTAAAAAAATTAAATTTAAATCACTTATTTAAATTTGTAAGCCAGTGTAATTAAAAAACCTTATTTTTTGGTCATTTCAAAAGTCAGTGAAGTGCAAAATGCAACAACAAAATACACGGTATCATAGGGTTACAAAATATTTACTGTAAAAGTTGGATAATCAAACCAACAAATTTTTAACTCTTATACATTTAAGCAGCCTTTATATATAATTTTTTTTTAATTTCAGATTGGCGCTGACGGCAGACGAAGCCAAATTTATTTGGCTCTTTCAACTGCCGCAGAATTTCGTGATCACTTGTCGTCATTTAGTGACTACTACGCTTCTCTAGGTATTTACAGATACGAATAATGTACCCTTTAAAAATGTTTTTATAGTAGCCTTTCACTTCCTCGCGATACATTTTTTAAGGATTACAGAAAAATTAAATTCAACTTGTCGTTTTTCAGATTTGTATATCAGAACAATACGAGGAAACATTTTATCTCGTGTTTTTTTTCTATTATTTGTTGGCAGTGTCGTCACTTTTGTCACCTTTTTAAAGTTCTTTTTTTAGATGCTTTCGGAATTTTTAAACGTGTTTATCCAATTCAAAAGAATTATTTCCTAAAAATAGTAAGCAAAGCTTGACTAGCGGTGTCACAGAAATCTCTTCTAATCAAATATTAATCCAAAGTCAAAATTCGGTTTCACCAATATCTCTTCGTAATGTTTAAATAATGGTTGCAAGCTGGTTTAGAAGTCGCTGCGGGTTAAAATAGATTTTTTTAAGCAACAGACCGAATTAAAAATACTTGATTTATGTTTTATACATTTTAAAAGTAAGTCAAATAGTTGCAAAATTTTTTTATCATTATATCATTTCTCTAATTTCTTGCGCGCAAAATAACAAATTTCACTCGAAAACTGTTCGGCAATCCTTTTGGTAGAACATGTCTGGTATCCCTTTTTGAAAGCAACTCGTTGTGAACTAAAATCTGCTGTTTAAGCCAAATAGTCAAAACGGTTTTCGAACAAGTGCTAAGAAGAAGTGCTAAAAAATCTTAAACAATTTTTCATTAATATATCTAG